TGGCTGCCCCTGGATCCCTGGGAGTGTCCAAGGCCAGGCTGGAGCAACCTGGGCCAGTGGAAGGTGTCCCTGGGGTCGGAGCTGGACAGGCTTTAAGGTCCCTTCCCACCCAAAGCATGCCATGATTCCCTGTGTGGAACCCCCAGCAGTTCCTCCCCCCGTGTGGCCACGGAGCAGCCCCGTGGTGTGTCCGGCAGTTCCAGCAGAGCTCTCCCTTTCAGGCTTGATGGGGCTGTTCGAGAAGCGCCGGTTCCGGAAGTTCCTGGTCTACGTGGCCAACTTCGACGAGAACGACCCCAAGACCTTCGAGGGCGTCGACCCCAAGAAAACCACCATGAGGGACGTGTACAAGAAGTTCGACCTGGGCCAGGATGTCATCGACTTCACCGGCCACGCCCTCGCCCTCTACAGGACTGACGAGTGAGTGGGGGCAGCTCCCAGATCCGGGGTCGGAGTCACTCCCGCCCCAAAGGCCAAAACTGGAGTCACTCCCACCCCAGATCCTGTCTTGGAGTCACTTCCACCCCAGATCGTGCGATCGGAGTCGCTCTTGCCCCAAATTCCGGGATCGGAGTCACTTCCACCCCAAATAATGGGATTGGTGTCACTTCCACCCCAGATCCCGGCATTGGTGTCACTTCTCCCCGGATGCCAGGATCGGAGTCACTCCTGCCCCAAATCCTGGGATCGGAGTCACTCCCGCCCCAAATGCTGACACTGGAATCACTTCTACCCCAAATCCTGGAATTTGGGGCAGCTGTTTGAACGCTGAGCATTCCTGGGGTTAAGGCAGCGCCTCCTTCCTGCTAAAACAGCGGGAGCAGTTGGGGGTGGGAGGGAAACCTCTGGGGAGGTGTATCCCGCCGGAACTGCCGGCTTGGGAAGCATCCCAGGGGCGTAACTGTCTCCACAGCTACCTGGACCAGCCCTGCCAGGAGACCATCAACAGGATCAAGCTGTACAGCGAGTCCCTGGCTCGGTACGGGAAGAGCCCCTACCTGTACCCCCTGTACGGCCTGGGAGAGCTGCCCCAGGGCTTCGCCAGGTGAGCCTGTGGATCCCCGCGCCCGCAGGGTCAGGGTGGGCTGTGGGGAGCCGATCCCGCAGCTTCCCGAGTGTCCCAGCACTCACTCACTCCCAAGCAACCCAACCCTGGGGCTGTGGAAGGGGCTGGAAGGGCTGTTAAACCCACCCTGGAGCTGTGCAGGGACTGAGGGCAGTTTTAAACCCCACCCTGGAGCTGTGCAGGGACTGAGGGCAGTTTTAAACCCCACCCTGGAGCTGTGCAGGGACTGAGGGCAGTTTCCTCCTGCAGGCTCAGCGCTATCTACGGAGGCACCTACATGCTGAACAAGCCCATCGAGGAGATCGTGATCGAGAACGGCAAAGTGGTCGGGGTGAAGTCTGAAGGGGAGGTACAGTCCCTTGCCTTCATTCCTTACTCCCTGCCCTCCATGTTTTCCCTAAAAACTGAGGCTTTTGGTCATAAATGTGAATAAATGAAGTCGAAATCCCATTTTCCCAAGGGGCTGGTGCTGTTCTCCAGCTCACTTGAGGCACGTTGATGCCCTGGGGTGAGGATCCATCCAACAGTCCTGCTCCAGGGGTTGGGATGGAGCGTCCACGCCCTGGCAGGGTTGGGGAGATGAGGAAGGGGCTGTTCCTGTGTCTGACCCAGACACCCAGCCCTGCCCTTAGACAACTGGCACGTGGCCTTCCTGCATCTGCTTCTGCACCTGGAGAATGGTGCAGCATGAAACTGGGAATGCTGGCAGCCTCCTGGAGGCTCTCCAGGCACTCCTGACTGGAGCAGGCGCTGGGGGGCACTGGAGCTCTCGGTGCCATCTCCCCTCGGGTGGGAGTGGAGGGGACAACCCGGTGTGAGCCAGTGTGGGTGGGCTGGGGGCTTCAGGCGGGTGGGCTGTGAAAGGATCAGTGCTGACGTGGGCTGGCCTCTCGTTGTGGCAGGTGGCCCGCTGCAAACAGCTCATCTGCGACCCCAGCTACGTGTCCGACCGCGTCACCAAGGTGGGCCAGGTGATCCGGGTCATCTGCATCCTCAGCCACCCCATCAAGAACACCAACGACGCCAACTCGTGCCAGATCATCATTCCACAGAACCAGGTCAACCGAAAATCAGGTGGGTGGCGGCTGGGCCGGCCGGGAAACCACGCCGGGAATGGGCACTGGGGTCCTTCCCGGGATCTTCCGGCCCCAGCAGGGCTCTGCTTCACTTCAGAGTGGGGATGGGGGAGCTGGGAGAAACCTTGGGGGGGAAACCCTGTGAGGAACCTGCGGGAGGGAAGTGCCCCAGCCGGGGAGAAGTGGGGAGGAGGGGGAGATGCTGGGTGAGGGTGAGGAGGGTTTGTCCAAGTGGGGCAGAAACACGGGGCTGGAAGGGCTGTTAAACCCCACCCTGGGGCTGTGGAAGGGGCTGGAAGGGCTGTTAAACCCCACCCTGGGGCTGTGGAAGGGGCTGAGGGGAGCTAAACCCCCCTTGGAGCTGTGGAAGGGGCTGAGGGGAGTTAAACCCCCCTTGGAGCTGTGGAAGGGGCTGAGGGGAGCTAAACCCCCCTTGGAGGTGTGGAAGGGGCTGAGGGGAGTTAAACCCACCCTGGGGCTGTGGAGGGGCTGAGGAGGGGAGATGCTTCCCCACCCTTGAACATGAGAGCGGGGACCCTGCTGGATTTCAGGAGCCATCAGAGCGCCAGTGAAGTGAATTCTGGAGCTGTCCCACGTGCCAGGCCCCTCAACCGGGACAGGGAGAGCAGGCGGGGGGTGGGACAGGGCTGGGCTCTGCCAGGAGGTGGCAGGAGGGCAGAGGCTGGGGCTGAGGAGGGTCTGTGGTCCCTGGTGCTGAGCCGTGTCCCGCAGACATCTACGTGTGCATGATCTCGTCCGCCCACAACGTGGCGGCGCAGGGCAAGTACATCGCCATCGCCAGCACCACCGTGGAGACCCCCGACCCCGAGAAGGAGATCAAGCCGGCCCTGGACCTGCTGGAGCCCATCGAGCAGAAGTGAGTCCCCCCTGCCCTCCCGGGGCTCGGCCCTGGCGCTCGGCAGGGCCCTCCCAACCCCTTCTCCTCCCCGCAGGTTCGTCAGCATCAGCGACCTGTTCGCGCCCACCGACCTGGGCACCGAGAGCCAGGTGAGTGGGGAGTGGGGGCCGAGCTCGCCTTGGGGTCAGGCCCGGCTCAGCTCTAACTCCCCGTTCCTGCAGATCTTCATCTCCCGCACCTACGACGCCACCACCCACTTCGAGACGACGTGTGACGACATCAAGGACATCTACAAGAGGATGATGGGCTCAGAGTTCGACTTCGAGGAGATGAAGCGCAAGAAGAACGACATCTACGGGGAGGAGGAGCAGCAGTAATGAGAGAGCCTCTGATTAGGAGAAATTAAATGGGCTAATATGAATATATAAGGAACTTAATGAACACTGTACGAAATTCAATATTGTAAGGCCTGCTTTTGTAATCCCATCTCTGAGAGATTGAAGAGTTACTGCACTGGTCATGTTCCCTTTTTTGGATATCATGTGTTAATTATTCCATTCTAGTAGGGCTGCTGTCCAGAATCTGGCAACCCCCGACTCCCTGACTAACCCCCTAAGCGAAAGGCAGAATTGAACTTAGGATGATGATGATGAATATGATAATTATTATTATTATTTTTGCAGAGTAGACGTTGGTGCAGATTTGAGAAATAACAACTCATTGACAGCTGTGTCTTACCTTGTCTTTTTAATCATTTGTAAAAGCATCCTCCACCCCCTGTGCTTCTGGTGAGCTCGTAGATGTGACTGTGAGCGTCACTCAAACCTGGTGTCGAGGAGCATAGACCCCCAGCACTCCGTCATTGTGGACAGCATCCCTAAAAGTCCCTCCCATCGACCTTAACTCTCGTGGCAAAGTTGTTATCATGGACAAAGCCCACATCTATTGTAGCAGCAAACGTTGGCTTCGTTCTGGGCACAGAACTTTAACCTCCACTTCAGCTTCTAAACCTGTTTACAGGGGTTGGGACACAGCTGTGCCTGAGGCTCCTTTGTGTTTTAATCTTAATAAAATTGAGAGAACAAAATTGCAGAGCAGGCAAAGATGTTGGGAGTATTTTGTGTCCCTGGGGGCTCCTCGGATGGACCAAAATGGCACCGCGGTACCGGCAAGGACGGAGCCGGTGCTTCCCGGGGCTCCTCCAGGCTCCAAATGATTTCTGTACTGCGAAGTAAAGCCAAATTCTGGAAACCAGTCCTGGGCTCCCAGTCTCTGATTTGCTTCACTTCTACCAGCAGCACCTCTGGGAGACACCCCAAGGGAGCTCAGCCTGCCAGGGAACGGGCACAGCATTCCCTGCTGGAAAAGGGGCACCAGCGTTCCCTGCAGGAAAACGGGCTCGGGGTCCCTGGCTGGGATTCCCAGGCCGTGCTGCTGCAGGGATATGGCAGCACCAGGCTGTGGCTTGGGCTGTCCATGGGCACAATCCTGCCCAGGCTGTCCGTGGCACAGTCCTGCCTGTTCCCCGCAGCCACATCCGGGAATGGCTCTTGCTGGAAGCAGCAATAACGAATTCCTGCTCCTGGGGCTCCTCTCCGGGGCTCTCCCTGGGTAAGAGATGTTCCCTCCGGATCCCTGGCTGGGATCTGGGAACCTGGACCATCCAGCTGTTGGGCACAGCTGGCTAGTGAGGAGCAGGGCTTGTGTTTGGACACAGCACTGCCACGTGCCAGGAAAAATGAGGAAATACCTTGGAACGCCCTCCAGCCAGTGCTGCTCCATTCCCAGGCTGCTGCTGAGGAGGGTCTGGGATTTCTGATCCCACCACTTTGTGGAAAACAATCTTTCCCTTAAACTACCCTGTTATCCCCCTCTGCTGTAGCCTCGTTATTCCTGTGCCTCCCAGCCCTGGGAAGCAGGATGGGATGGAGCCTCCACGGTCCTGTTCCCTCTTCCCTTCCCGTGGGGGCCTCCAGGTTGGAGCTGACGCAGAACAAACTTGCTTTCTTCCAAGGTTTTATTATCCAAACTCTTTACAAACCTGTCCTGTACAGAAGGGCAACTGCAATTCTTTCATTTTAAAAAACCCAAAATACAAGAGGACAAACCCCAGCCCTGCATCTCCATCCTGGCCCCCATAAATAAGAGATTTTGGTTTTGTTCCTATATCCCAGCTATTTACAGGAATTCCAGGTGCTGGAATGCAACGGAATGGAGTCCCAGCAGGGAAATGTACCGTGAGGCAACAGGGGGTGAGTTGAAATGTAGTGTAGGAGGGGCAGGGCATGGGAACTACCCCGTGGGGAGTGGGGTTTGTTGTCCCTCCTGACCTTCCTTCAAGTAAAAACGGCTTTCTGGAGATTCCAACGTCAGCAGAACTGAAACGCTCGGGAACGCCCCGAGAATTTCCCGACCGCGCTAAAACAACCTCTGTCCTGGGATGCAACAGGGAATAAAGGCCGGGGGGGTTGGATTGACCACCTCTCAGTCAGATTTTCTGTGCAGAACCAGAACGGCCCTTCCCGCACCCCCCGGAGCACCCGCCGGGATGGGCGAGTCCCGAAGGACTGGGAGGCTCCGGCTGGGGCCACCCTGGGGAGGAGCCAAGTCCTGCCTGGACTTTGTCACCTGCAACACAGAGAGGTGGCTCAGGTTAAAGCTCAGCTCCCTCAGGAGCTTCCCAGGAAAACACCGGAGTGTTCCCCATTCCCAAGGGTGCCAAGCACGGCTCTGCCAGCTCTGCATTCCGGAGCCAGCCCTGAGTGCCAACAGATCCCGTGTCCAGCACCTCGGGAACATCCCTGCTCTGATCCGGGAGCAGCTGGATCTGCTCCCAACAGCCCAGGGACTGCTCCCAACAACACAGGGGCTGCTCCCAAAAATCCAAGAGCTGCCCCCAACAATGCAGTGGCTGCTCCCAACAATGCAGTGGCTGCTCCCAACAATGCAGTGGCTGCTCCCAACAATGCAGTGGCTGCTTTCAAAAAAACCCAGGGGCTGCTCCCAAATTTTGGGGACTGTTCCCAAGCTTCCCCTCCTCACCAGTAGCTCCTTTGGAAAGGAGCAGCCACGTCCTGCAGCGTCCCCAGGAAGGTGTTGACATCGACCACCAGGATCCCTTTGCTCTCCAGGATCTCCCGGCTGGCTCCGGGGTTTTCTGCAAGGGAAGGAGCAACCCCGTGAATTCCAAGGGACGCAGAATTCCAACCCTGCAGGAAAATTCCCCCAATCCCCCGTGGACTGCCCTGCAGAGGGAGCAGAGTCCCTGGCAAAGAGCCTCAGCCCGGCACTCCAGGGGGATGAGATGCCATCCACGGGTTCCCAAAATGGAAGAGTTCAGGAGCCTCCCAAAAACCTGTTCCCTTTGCACACCTGGGCCAGACCCACCTGAGGGATTCCAGCAGGAATGGGGGGAATGGGGGGATTCTTGCCCCTCCTCCATCACACCCCAGGCCAGTTCAATGCCTTGGGGTCTCTGCTGTGTGAGATACACCCCCCTTACTCGTGGGGTACACACCCCTTATGTGTGAGATACACCCCCTTAGTGTGAGATACACCTCCTTAGTGTGAGATACACCCCCCTTACTCGTGGGGTACACACCCCTTATGTGTGAGATACACCCCCTTAGTGTGAGATACACCCCCCTTACTCGTGGGGTACACACCCTTTAGAGTGTGAATACACACCCCTTAGTGTGACATACACCCCCCTTAGTTATGGATACTCATGGGATACTCGTGGGTGGGATACACATCATTTATGTGTGAGTTACACACCCTTAATACCTATTTTACCTATAAAACACCTATGTACATAGTACCTATATATATATATATATATACACCTTTCTCTATAAAGTATTTATATAAAAGTACCTATAAATTACTTGTGAGATACACACCCCTTAGTGTGACATACACACCCCTTACACGTGAGATACACACCCCTTACATGTGAGATACACACCCCTTACATGTGAGATACATGTGAGCCCCTTACTCATGGGATACTCATGGGTGAGATGCACATCATTTATGGGTGAGCTACACAGTCCTTATCACCTATTTTACCTATTAATTACCTATGGATATAGTACCTATATATACACATATATATATATATACCTCTGTCTCTGTATATAAAGAACCCATAAATTACTTAGGAGATACACACCCCTTAGGTGTGAGATACACACCCTTATCACCTGTTCTACCTATAAATTGCCTATGTACATAGTACCTATATATATATATATACACAACTCTCTCTCTGTATATAAAGTATATATATAAATTACTTAAGAGATACACATCCCTTAGTGTGAGATACACACCCCTTAGGGTGAGATAGATACACACCCCTTAGGGTGAGATACACACCCCTTATTCCTCCCTTACCCATAAAATATACACCCCTACCTGTGGCACATCCCCCTTAGGTGTGATGTACATTCCTTTCCATGAGATACAACCCCCTTACTCCCCCTGCCCTGGGAGCTCCCCATCCCTGCCCTGGGAGCTCCCCCCCTCACAACCATTCCCTGTGAGCTCCCCCCCTCACCCCCATCCCTCCTGTGCTCTCCCCCCTTCACTCCCATCCCATCCTTCTGCTCCCCACCTCATCCCCATGCCATGCCATGCCATGCCATGCCATGCCATGCCATGCCATCCCACCCCTCCCCTGCACTCACGGGTGAGGAGGACGCCCAGCCTGGCCCGCACGTGCTGCACCTGCAGCTGCAGGAGGCACCTCAGCAGCTCCTTGTCGGGGGCGCCGGGGCTGTCGCAGGCGTGGAAGGGCAGCGGCTCCACCAGGCCCTCCCCCTGGCACCAGGTCAGGATCCGCTGCTTCCCGGGGGCATCGGGGCCCAGCCTGCTGGGACAGCACGGGCAGCGCTCAGGGGAGCCCTGCTGCAGTTTGGGGGCTGGGGCTGGGGAAAATGGGGGTCTGGCAGAGCCCAGGCCTCCCCTGCTCCCCCCCTCACCAGCCAGGTTTGGGGGGCACAGCAGGGACAGGGTCCCCAAGGGACTTTCCAGGCCCTGTGGCATCGTGCTCGGGATGTAAAGCTCAGGAGGGGGGAAGAAGGAAAGGGGGGGATGTTTGGAATGACGCTGTCTGTTCCCAGGATGGAGCCTGGCTTTCCTGAGGGAGGCCCAGCACCTGCTGGGATGGGAAGTAGGGAATGGAATCCTTGGTTTTGCTGCTGTGACAGCTCGGTTTCCCCTATTAAACTGTCTTCAGCCCAATCCACGAGTCTTCCTCACTTTCCCCTTCCCACCCCACGTGGTGGTCGGGACAGTGCGGCTGTGTGGGGTTGAACCACCCCTGAAGGAGAATTAGGGACCTTTTGGGTTAGGACAGGAGTGGACCAGCTGATGAGAATTTGAGGAGTTTCAAGGACTGAGTGTTTTTGATGATATGACAAGGACTGGACATCTGGAGGAAGGAGAAAAACAGCACCTGCAGATGGGAGGCTGAGTTAAACCTGCCAAGAGGCATATAAATAGAGTGTTATGGTTAGATAGAGAAGAAGAATTTAGAAAAATAAGATATATTAACTAACCAATAATGATGTAGTTTAGTCGTGTGAACAACTTGTGTTTTGTGTATGTAACCAATAACGAGTTAAATAGTCAAATATATGGTAATTATTAAACTGTATAAAAGAAAGCGTAATTTTCAATAAAGATGGAGCTTCTAAAACATCCTATTGGTGTGTGGAAAGTTTCCCTCGAGGCTCGCACGAGGCAACACACCCCAGTCCTATTTTGGCTGGAGATAACCCCAGACTCGACTGGAATGTGGCAGATCCAACCTCTGGTTGTGTTCCCCACGCTGCAAAGGAACCCCTGGAAGCAGCTGTGGCTGTGGGCAAGTCCATGCTGGATAATCCCAGTGACTCCAGGCCGGGATAAGGCCGTGCTGGAGCACGTGCAGTGCTGCAGGAATTGTCACCCCTGGATTTCAGGCCATGGAGGAACAGGGCCAGCTCTGGCTGTGGATCACTCCGTGCCATGGCAGAATAAATCCTTGGAGAGACTGTGGCCCATGCATAAGGCTCCCCTTGGAGCAGGCACACCCTGAGGGATGCAGTCCACAGGCAATCCCGAGCTGGAGGACGAGGGCAGTTCATTCCAATGGTCCAAAGGGACCAGGGGTGGGAACTGTGGTGGCAATTCCTCCTCTGCATCAACTCTGGGCTCCTCATCCCTCCCTCAAACCCCACCTGGGACGGGACGGGGAGGAAACAGCAAAGAGATGTGGGGGAAGCCAGGAAGGTGCTCCAGGCTCCCGGTGTGTGGGGCTGGGATCAGCTGGGGGGAACGGAACTCAGTTTGCTCTGGGAATGTGCAGCTCCTCCAAGGAGATCTGTGCCTCTCCCCATCACTCACTGCCTGGGGGTGTGTTGGCCAGGGAGAGGGGAAAGTGCTTCAAGGAGGGGTGGAGGGGGGCAGGAATTGCTGCCAGAGCCTGATCCTCTCCAGCTCCCAGTTCCTGATCCTCTCCAGCTCCCAGTTCCACCTCCCAGGGGTGCTGAACCCAACCTGCCAGGGTAGGGCCGTTACCTGAGGTCTCCTCTGAGCTTCTTGTTCTCCCTGTAGTGAAGGAGCCACTTCCACCTCCCTCTCCTGTTGAGCTTCTCCAGCACCTTCACCACCTCCTTCAGTTGGGCTGGGGGGACACAGAGCAGGAGGGTGAGGGGAAGGGGGCACAGAGAGCAGGAGGGTGAGGGGAAGAGGGGCCTGGGGGTCTCTGGCCAGCAGGGTTGCTCAAGGTGAGGTTGGAGTCTCTCCAGGGATGGAGACTCCCCTCCCAATACAGGCTGGGAAACTGGGATTTTGTCCTGCTGTTTGAACATGCTGCCTGTGGATTTTATTCCCACTAATACCTAAAGTAAGTGCAACTTGCCCCTGTCTCCTGTTGTCCCTTGGCTGTGCAGCCCCAGGAGTGTGGATGAGTTTTCTCTGCCACTCCCCATCAGGGATCCGAACGGTCTTCCTTTTGTCCTCCCTTTGCCATTAGATATTGGGAAGGAATTGCTGGCTGGGAGGGTGGGCAGGGCCTGGACTGGATTTCCCAGAGGAGCTGTGGCTGCCCCTGGATCCCTGGGAGTGTCCAAGGCCAGGTTGGAGCAGCCTGGGAGAGTGGAAAGTATCCCTGCCCGTGGCCAAGATGCCCTTTAAGGTCCCTTCCAACCCAACCCATTCCATGCTTCCATGATTCTCCAGGCTGAACATCCTTGTACAACCCTCCACTGTACTCAGATGTTTTTGGGGCCCCCTGACCTGGACCCATCACCCAGATGGGACCCAGATGTCCCACCCAGGGCATGGATTTCCCCGCTCCAAGGCGGAGCAGAGGAGCAATGGAAAGATTTGGGAAGGTGTCTGTGGATAAGGCCAAAGGGAAGGGACAGCACCACCCTTGTGCCCAAGTGAGAGGCCCCAGGACTCACCCAGGGACACGGACTCCAGCAGGTGGTGGTCGGACACCAGGAAGCCCCCGGTGTGGAACAGCTCCTGGTAGGTGCGGCCCGTGACGTCCTCGGGGCTGTCCACGCCGGCAAACAGCACGCTGGGACAGCACTTCAGCTCCAGCAGCCCCGGGATCTGCTCAGGGTACAGAGGCTGCCCTGAGGCTGGGGAACCCCTGCACCGTCCCATCCCCACAGCCCCACCCCAGGCTGTGCCCACGGGGAGCCCCCGCTCCCTGCAGCCCCAGAGCCCCTGGAGAGCGGCCCAGGAGCCGCTCCAGCCCGGCCCTGCAGCCTCTCCCAGGGATTAAGGAAGGTGCCGAGGGGAGGGGCCTTACGGTGTGCAGGTGCAAGGAGATGTCCTGGTTGCGGATGATGACGAGCAGCTGGGCGCCCGCCCGGCGCCGCCCCTCACAGAAGCTCAGGGGCTCCATCCTCACCCAGCCCTCCTTCCTCAGCAGGGCCTGCAACAAAATCCTCCTCAGCTCGGCCCGGGGGAACCTCCACACGCCACAGGGAGGGATGGGGGCTGTGCAAGCACCGTGGGATCTGCCCGGTGGCAAGGAAACCATGGACCTTTATCCCTAAAATCCTTTTGGAAACCCCCTCGAGCCTCTCCCCGCACCATCATGGGGCCTCTTTGCTGCTGCAGAGCAGCAAATCCTCCCACAAAATGTCCCTGCCCGAATTCCCAGCCTGGGCTGCCCAACCTCCCATCTGCTTTGGGATGTTCAGCTGACAGCATATGAAGGAACAGCCTCAAGCTGAGCCAATGGAGGTCTGGGTTAGATATCAGGGAAAATTTCATCACCAAAAGGGTGGCCAGACACTGGAAGGGGTTGCCCAGAGCAGGGGTGGAGTGCCCATCCCTGGAGGGATTTCAAATCCCTGTGGATGTGGCACCTGGGGACACGGGGCAGGGTGGCCTTGGCAGTGCTGGGTTAAGAGTGGACTTGGAACTCTTTGAGTCATTTTAGATGGGATATTGGGAAGGAATTGCTGGCTGGGAGGGTGGGGAGGGGCTGGAATGGGTTTCCCAGAGAATCTGTGGCTGCCCCTGGATCCCTGGGAGTGTCCAAGGCCAGGCTGGAACAACCCGGGCTAGCAGAGGTGTCCTAGCCCATGGCAGGGGGCTGGATGACCTTCAAGCTCTTTTCCAACACAACCCACTCCATGATCCTAGGATGACCCCACCTTAAATCCACCCTGAAGGACTCGGTGATGCGATGGCAGGGTCGGCTCCCACCTCAGGGCACCCGAACCCCCCATGCCAGGCTGTGCCACCCCCTCCCCCTGGGGACTCCTCTTACCTTCAGCCTCTCGAAGAAGGGCTCCTTGCCGGTCTCCAGCAGGTAGAACATGGGGGGGTGTGGGGAGGCCCGGCGGGCCACGCGGCGCAGCTGGGACCGCAGGGCCCCGCACAGGTCGCCAATGGTGTCCCCGACGGCCGCCGTCCTTCGGCCCTCGGCCCCGTGCCCTGCACGCACCAGGCCCGGCCCTATGCCCTCTCTGCCTTCTCTGCCCTCTCTACCCTCGCTCCCGGTGCCCGCCCTGCTCAGCACCACCCTCTGGAACTCAGAGCAGCCGTCCAGGATGACGGTGACGTCCCCCCGGGTGACGTCCCCCCGGCCAGGCGGCAGCGGGCGGCCGTCCTGGCGCAGCCTCCCGAGGTGGACGGGAGCGCGGGCTCGGGATGGGGATCTCCTCCTGGGCTCCTGGGGGGTGACCTCCCCGTGCCGGCCCCTCCACCGGCGGGACCTGCTCCCCCCCGGCCACGTGTCCGAGGGTGGGATGGTCACCTGCAAGGGGCTCCTGCTGCGCGGGGATGGCCGGGAAAAGTCCTTCGGGAAGGTGCCCTCCGAGGTAGAAAAGGGAGGTTTCCTATTCCCGAGGACCTGGTTTAGCTTATAATGGAAACGGAGACACTCCATGTCCAGAGTGTTCTGGGTGAGCTCCTCAAAGCCCCTCCAGTCGCCCAGCAAATTGTTCCGTAACAGATGGGACTCTCCCGTGCGGCAGCGCCGCCTCCTCGAGGGCTGGGAATTCCCAGGCCTCTCCCGGTGGTGGTGCTGGGTGATGACGGAGCTCCGGGAATGCCTGGAGAGCACCGAGCCCCAGCCTTCTCCCTGCCCCTCCATGGAGAAGTGGTCGCCGTTAGTCCTCGTGCCCACGGTGTCCGCAGCTCTCGTGCCGTGGGAAACCCTGGTTGGAAGATGGGAACGCGAGTTCCTCCCAAAATATTCCTGCTCCGAGTCACTGGATGAAAGATCCAGTGGGTCTCCAAAGGCCAGGCCCCGGTGTGTGTCCCTGCCGAGGAACTGCTCTGCCCTCGGGAAGGTGTCCAAAGGATCCTCAGCGTCGCTGAACTCCAGGCTGTCTCCAGAGGGATCCCTGTGCCCATAGAACGGCAACGCCGGGATGGGGGAAACGAGGATCTCCTCATCTGCCTCCTCTGTGCGGGCACCGTGTGGACCAGGGAATGCCCAGGACTCCCTGTCCCTGGGATCAGGGAATGCCTCAGATTCGCTGTCCTCCCACCCAGAGCAGGGCTCGTGCCATGGATCGTGCGACTCCCCCTCTGGAGAAGATGGAGGGCTGGAAACAGGGATGCCGCTTCCTCCTTCCCAGTGCCCAGGCAGGATGGGCTCCTCCCTCCGGCTCCCTCTTGGATGCTCTGCTTGGCTCCCAGGGTTGGTACGGGGGGAGGACCATGAGGCATCATCCGTGCCTGGACGGAGCATCCCAGGACACACATCCAGGACTGAGTCTGGCTCTGGGCCGTGGAGAACATCCTGGAGACGGTGTGGAGGAGAAGCAGATCTGGATCTCAGCTGCCCCGGCAGCACATCCGCAGGGGAGCCCCGTGCCAGCCCTGCAGGGCGCCCGGCCCGGTATCTGATCACCCCTCCGGAACACCTGGGATTTACGGAGCTCTCCAGGCTCCGGGCACCCCCACTCCCCTCTGGAGCACCACCTTCCTCCCAGCAATTCCAGGGCTGGCCCGGGGCTGGCTCCCACTGGCTCTGCTCTGAGTTTCGGGGATCTGCATCTTCCTCGTAAGCAGGAGAAGCAGGAGCTGAGTATCCAGGGCTGGATGGGGAGACGGTCTTTGGGAAGTTCTGCTGCTGCCCGGGGGGCTCCTCCACAGCAGACATCCCTTTCCTCTCCAAGGAGGGCTCCGACTCCAGCAGGTGATGGAGGGGCATCTCTGGTTCCTGTGGAGCGTCACCCGCCATCTCCACGTCCATTCCGTGCGTCCTGGGGGAATTCTCTGCACCAGGACACACGTGGTCCCCCTCCCCAGCCCTGCCATCATTTCCAGGGGCTCTGTAGTCAGAGGTGAAGTCCTGGTCACCACCCGCTCCCACGGGACCATCCAGCACTCCTGGGCAGTTGGAACATGGGTTGCCAGGCTCTTCTTCCCTGAAAGCCTCACTCCTTCCCTGCTCTGAGTCCCCAGAGCGAGGCAAGGCGAGATCAGCACGAACTCCATCTCCCTGTTCCCGGGAAAAGCGGCTGCTCCCACCCAGCTCGCTCCGTGACGGCGATGGCAAGCCTGCCGTGGGTCCCCAGTCCTCTGGAGCAGCCCCAGGCTCCATGGATCCATCAGGAGATGCCAGGCAGGCAGAGTTGGAGTCAGGGGACAAGGCTGGTGCCAGTCCCCGGCTGTGCGGTGACTCCAGGCCATCCGTGTTCCCGGCAGGATCCCACCTCTCTGCGGCGGGCACGTGATCCCTGTCTCTCTGCTCCAAGGCATTCCCGAGTGTCTCTCCAGCAGCTCCTGGGCTGCCCGTAACACTGTCTGGCTGTGCCCCATGGAAAAGGCCTGGATCAGGTGGGAACATCTCCCCACTGTCACGGGGTGACCCCACGTGGGCTGGACTGGCCACACCACCAGTGCCTGTCTCCGAGTACGGAGTGGCCGGAGCATCCCAGGGCTCCAGGAGCTCATCCGCGCTCGGGGCCATCTCACCAGGAAGGCCTGGAGAGCCAGTCCCACTCCAATTCCCGGTCCAAGTCCCACCTGACAGCACCAGTGTGGAGCTGGCTGAGCAGGGAGATGCCAAGGAGCTGGGGCTGGGCATAGAGTCCTCTCCAGGAACGCCGAAGTCCTCTGGAAACGGGGAATTCCCTGGTTTCTGCTCGCTGTGCTCGCTCCCCATCTCGGTGTCACTGCTCTCAGATAACACCAAATCCACAGGCCCCAGGAATGTGCTTTCCTCCTCAAAGTCCTCCTCGTTCTCATCCTTGTCCTCCTCCGGCTCTCTCTCCTCTTTCTCCGGGTGTCCAAAGGGGTTTTGTGACTCCAGCCCCTCCTTGCTGGCTCCGGCAGGATTCGCACTCCGGGGACTCGCTTCCGAGGGCACGGAATCGCGGGCACTTCCAGGACTTGCTTCCGAGGGCAGGGAACCCCGCAGATCACTGGTGGCCCAGCTGCTGTCCCTGCTGCCCTCCACCTCTGTGCAGCGTCCGGCATCTCCCGAATCCCAGGGAGAACTGGGCTCACGCCCCGCTCCTGCCTCCTGCCCGCTCTCCCACTGCTCCCCTTCTCCACCAATCTCTGTCCACGGAGCTGCAGTGGCACTGGGGGCCGGGCTGCAGGGGTTGGGGGCCGGGTTGAAGGGACTGGGGGCTGGGCTGCAGGGGTTGGGGGCCGGGCTGCAGGGCTTTTCAGTGCTTGGCACGGCCGGGGCATGCCCCAGCTCCTCCTCAGAAGGGCCGGGGGTGATCGTGGCATCCACCAGCTCCTCCTGCAATGACACAACCCGCAGGTTATTCCTCCTGGGAGCAAAAAAAACAACCAACAAAACAACAAACCCTGGGAATTTTCCTGTGGGAGCTGCTCCTTTGTTCGGAGCAGAAGGTTTAAGTTAAAAGATTTTAGGCCCACATTTCAGGCTTGAAAAATGCCCCTGGGTTGTGCTTGCCCAGGTGCCTCCACTCCTGCCCCTCTGCAGGCTGGAGGAACAGCAAAAACTGATTTAAAAGCTCTCTCCAGAATGGGATATTAACGGATTTCCCACAGGGATGAGGGGAATGCTGCAAAGGATTCTCTGTCTGGGAATGGGATGGTACGGGATGTTTGTGGTTCCTCTCTTCCCTCACTTAAGGGCTCAGACCTTGCCTGAGCTCACACTCCAACCAGGAGCAGGCATTTGGTTCTCTGGGGTTCTTGGGAGAGCAAGAGAGGGACACAGCTCATGCCAGAGCCTGGGAATGCCAGCTCAATCCAAGAGGAACATCCACAGCTGGATTGTGGCCTGAAAGCTTCTCTTATGGTGGCTCGGAGTGTGTCCAGAAGAAATCCTGGAGGATATTTCTCCATCCTGCTGTTAGGACCCGCATTCCCTGCCTCCAGGGGAGCCCCAAGGCAGGACCCCCCCCTCCCCTCCGAGCAGGAACGTGCCCTGCTGGGCTGTACCCCCAAGCCCACACTCACCGTAGCGACGCTCGGCACGTCCCACCTGCCCTCCTCGGGCATTCCTGGCTGCCCCTCTCCCTCATCCGGGCTTTCTGCGGCATGTTCGGCATCGGGAATGCCGTTGGGAATGCCCTTGGGAACGCTCTCAGGACAGCTGGTGGAGGAGGGCTCCTCCTCCTCACAGGGCAGCTCCCCTGAGGAGGAGGACACGGTGCTGTCGATGCCTCCGGTGTCGCTCCGCGAGTCCGCCCGGCGCCTCTTCGGCCGGGAAGAGAATTGTCCCGGAGTGCTGGAATCCAGGGAGCTGCTAGGAGTCTGGTCAGGCTCCGACCTGGAGTCTGCAGGGCACGTCTTGGAGCGCCGGGGTCGCTCCCTGTCGTCAGTGAAGTCCAGGAAGCCGTCGGAGCTGTTGATCAGGACAAACTTCTTGGGGTCTTTGTGCTCCACCACCTTCCTGGAGCTGCTGAGCTGGGTGGTGGGCTTCCTGTAGAACAGGGCCACCCACATATGCAGGATCAGCTTCATCTCCTCCAGGTCCTCGGGGAGATTGCAGTTCCAGGGCCTGCAAAAGGGGAGGGAACACACACCCCCTTGAAACATCTCCACGCTGTTCTCCGCTCAAGGGGAACTCGGCGCCCGGTTCCCTGCAGGGCTCAGCGCCGAGCTGGGAATTCCCTGCAAAGCAGCTGATGAAGGTTCCAGCTTTTTTCAAAAAAAAATTAAAGTAGAGAACCCCAAGGGTTGGAGGACTTGGGGTGGTGGTGGCTTTGGCTGCCAATTCCAGTGGCAGAGCCATGGGAATCATGGAACGGGTTGGGTTGGGAGGGACCTCTCAACGTAATCCAGTGCAATCCCCCTGGAGCAGGTTGCTCCAAGCCCCGTCCAAGCTGGCCTTGGACACTTCCAGGGATCCAGGGGCATTCATTCCAGTCCCTCCCCACCCTGCCAGCCAGCAATTCCTTCCCAATCTCCCATCTATCCCTGCCCTTTGGCATTGGGAAGCCATTCCCTGTGTGCTGTCCCTCCAGGCCTTGTCCCCAGTCCCTCTCCAGCTCTCCTGGAGCCCCTTTAGGCCCTGCAAGGGGCTCTCAGGTCTCCCTGGAGCCTTCTCTTCTCCAGGATGAACATTCCCAGCTGTCCCAACCTGGCTCCAGAGCAGAGGGATCCAGCCCTGCGAGCAGCTCCGGGGCCTCCTCTGACCTCTCTCCAGCAGCTCCACGTCCTCCTGCTGCTGTTCCCAGGGCTGGATTCCAGGTGGGCTCTGCCCTAAGGGGGCAGAGGGGCAGAAACCCCCCTCCCATGACTGTGGGATCAGCCCAGGCCACAGGTGGATTTCTGGGCTGGTCACGTCCAACTTGTCACCTCACCACCCTCCCCCTCCAAATCCCTCCTTTTCTCCAGGGAAAACACACTGACCACAGCCCACCCAACCCAGTGGGGGGAACAAAATCCACCACTGCACCAAGCAATAAATAAAAACAAAAAGAGCAAATCAAGCCCCTTCCAAAGGCTTTCCGGGCTCCAGGCTCAACTTACCCGTGCAGGGCACGGATGACGGATCTCTCCAGGTTGTTGTTGCTGTACCTGGTGTCCAGGTTGTAGAGGAACTCGCCGTCCCACTGCAGGGTCACCTTCAGGGAGTTGCCGTGCGCCTTCACTGTGTGGCACTTGGCGAACTCCTCCCTGGCCCTGGAGGGGCTCGTCGCGCCCCTCGTGGCCCCGGGGGGCTGTGGGGGGCGGGGGAAAGGCAGCACCTTCCCCACCAGCGGGCCCTCCCGGGCCCTCCCGCTGCCGGTGCCGTTCCTGCAGGGGGCTGCTCTGGAGGGGGGGTTTCCCTTGGCGTTGGCGTCCCCGGCGCGCTGCTCCGGCACGCTGAGCGCGTAGGAGTGCTCGCAGGCGATGGGGCACTGCTGGGACCCGCCTGCGCCTTCCGTCACCCTGCCCCACACCAGGCCGGGCCTGGCGCTGCTCTGGCCGGCAATCCTGGACGTTTTGTCCCCAGCAGCGGCAGCGCCGGAGCCGCTCGAGGGCGGTTTTGCCACTGCGGGACGCACCGGGCTGGGTGGCCCCGCCTTGGCCGCTCGTTTGCCGGCCCTCTGCTGTTTGGGGTCGGGGGACGCCGGCCCGGGATGGCCCTGCTGCTCCAGATTGGGATCACCCTGCTGCTCTGGGTCCTCCTGCTGCTCCGGGGAGGAGTCACTGGAGGGGCTGTGGGAGGCAGGGATGGCCTCGGTGTCGGGCGGGGAGAAGAGGGAGATGCAGGAGCCCAGGGCCAGGTCAGCCAGCAGGTTCAGCCCGTGGGAGTTGCAGTCCTCCAGCGCAGCAGCCACGTAGAGCTCGTTCCCTCGGCTCTGCTCTCCCTGGCACTGGGACTGCGGAGGGACGTCCGTTGGGAGGGTGGCTGGCTCCTCCAGCGCTGGGGGAGGGAAGAGAAGGGAAGGGGTGAATAAGCATCACATAAACGACATGAACAACATCCTCCCGCCCCAAAAAAGGGGTGGGAGGCAGGTGCCGAGTCTGGCAGGGAAAAGGCTCTTTCCAATGTGGGTTTCTCGCACTTGAAACACCTCCAGGGGCGGGGAGGTCATGGCTACTGGGAAAGGATCCAGAGCTGGGAATCAAAGGGACTGCAGGAAGGCCTGGCATCCACAGGGAACAAAAGCTCCCTTGGCCACCCAAACACAACCTGAAGTATTTGAGGTTTCCTCCACCCTTTTGATTTTTGCTCTAAGTTTTTCTTGTGGTTTGGCCATTTGCAACAAATAATGTTATTGATTTTATTTCTAATCTGTTTATATTAATTAATGTTTGCATATTTGTATATTATTTTATATTAATTAAATTATATCAATAATATGTTACCAAAATATTGGATCATATTATGACTAAATATTATTAATAAACTATATTAATAATATATTTATCTGTTCAGAGGAATAAACTCTGTGTTATCCATTCACTGCATAAACTCTGCATTATTCATTCAGTTCAGTTCTAAAACAATCCCCCCCAAAAAAACCCTAAAACAGAGAAAATGTGTATTATTTGATCATAACATGGCCCTGAGTGCACACAGAAACCTGGGGGTCCCCAAAGGCAGCCAGAGCACAGAAATAGGAGTTTATTTAGTTTTTGGTGATAAAAATGCCCCTCCCACTGCGGCTCCAGGCCTGGGGTCATAAAACCAGCGTGGGGTCATGAAAGAAGGGATTAAAAACCAGCACAAACCCTGAAACAGGAGGTCAGGCCCAAAAGAGTTAACTAAGAGATTTGGGCCTGCTAACAAGCTACCAACATCCAAAAACCATCTGTGCTTGTTCTGTTCTACTTCCTGGACCAAAACTGAAGAGAATGGTAAAGGAACATGGAATAGGTCTAGAGGTAAGAAATGAAGCTGCAGTAGGATAAGGTAAACATTTGAATAAAGAAACAGGCCGGGAGCCAAGGCTTTCTCCAAGCTTCAGTGAGGGGGTGGAGAACAATGGGAAAGAAGAAGGGTCAAACTGAAGATGAGTTTAAGCCACCAGACTCATGGGAAGAAGGATGGACCTACCCCCAAAACTGAGGGCCAAGAGAAGCACCGCCCCAAGCCCCACCCATACTCCACCTGTTATTAATATGCAGAGATAGATATTGTAATCATTTGAATATGCATTTAATCAGGTAGACAAATTGTATAAAAGTGCTGATTTTGTGTGAAGCCTTTGAGTAAGTTTTTCCAGCAATAGCTGGCTTGCTCCTGGTGCTGCTAATAAATAAATACCTTTGCTGCTCAAAAAATCAAAGTCTCCAGGCAGTTCATTATACTGAATTTTTTGGATTCAACCCCTCCCTGCCAGTAAAACCTCATTAAACCAGAGCTGTGCTGAAGGTCCCTCTGAACTTCCCTGAAGGTGAGCCACGGGAATCCAGCATTTTCTTACTGTTGAATGCCCCGATGTGGCATTTCTGGCACATCCTGGTATTCAGCAGGGCCCACCCAACACCTTCCTGGGGGAAGGCACGACCCAGATCCACTCTGGGAATGTCGTGGTACAAAGGCAATGAGGGGCGGGGTTGGATCGTGGAACCCTGGAATGGTTTGGGTTGGAAGGTGACCTTAAAGATCACCTAATCCCAACCCCCTGCCATGGCACACCTTCCACTCTCCCAGCTTGCTCCAAGCCTCATCCAGCCTGCTTTGAATTCCAGGGATCCAGGGGCAGCCACAGCTTCTCTGGGCACCCTGTGCCAGCACCACCACGAATATCCCTTCCCAATATCCCAATCTTTAGCCTCTTCCACTTAAAATCCTCATCCCCTTGTCCTCCCACTGCCATCAGCCTTTAAAGGCTCAGCCTTTGGAGAGAATTCCCAAGGAAAACAGGGAACTCTCACCGTTTCCTGCTTGGCTTTCTCCTCGGTCCTGGTCCAGGCCGCCCTCCTCGCCTCTCAGCACGGCATCTGTCACCGTTCTGTCAGCAGGAGCCACCTCCCCAGGAGCAGGAGCAGGGCTGGCAAGGGGAGCAGGGCTGGCTGGGCTCTCCCCAGCCCTGGCTCTCTTGGCTGCCGGCTCGGGAGCGTCGGGATCCGCCGTGTCCTGCTCCGCTCCTCCGGCCGCGTGGTGGTGGTGGACGATCTCCGCAGACAGCACCTCTGCACCTGGGACAGGGCAGGGACAACAGGCCTTTGGGCTGGGAACATGTCACAAGGGCAGGTAAAGAGCAATCAGGAATGAACTCCAGCCCGGGAAGGGGGGAGGTGATTGTGGGATTTGTTTGGCTTCCCATCACCCTGCTCGGATTTAACTGGTAATAAATCCAGGGCTCATGTCCCTGTCACCTGGAAGCAAAGCAAGGGAACACCACCCACTTCAGGCATTTCACTGACATTCCCTGAGTTCCCTCCCTTTTTCCCTTCTGTTCTCCATCCCAGGAGAACAAGAGGCTGTGGAAACACCTCCATAGGTGTGTCTGGATGCTGCCAGGAGGTCTCTGCCTGCTCTGGGCCCCTTGGGATGACTCCAAGTGACCCCTGAGCATCCTACCTGGACAGGCTGGATGCCAGCCCCGTTTCTGCAGCCCTTACCTCTTTTCCTTCTTTGTGGAAACTGTAGATTGGCCAGTTTAAGCAGGGGCTCGTGGGAACTGCCCGTGGCCTTTCCTTTTTTGGAGGTGGTGGCCGTGCCGGGTCTCCTCGTGCTGGGTCTCGTCTTGGGGCTCCCGTCCTCCTCTCCCTCGGACTCCTCTTCCTCCAGGAATTGCGTGTAACTCTTCCTGCTCATGAGGAGCCGGCTGGATTTCCTCCTTCCCTGCTCCCCGGGGCTGCTGGCACAGCCGGAATCCCCCGCGGGCTCTCCCCCGGCAGAGCTGGAATCCCCCGCGGGCTCTCCCCCGGCAGAGCTGGAATCCCCCGCGGGCTCTCCCCCGGCACAGCCCGAATCCCCCGCGGGCTCTCCCCCGGCCTGGGGAGCGGGGCCTTCCCTTGCACCGCCCTCTCTGGGGGGAAGCCCTTCGGTGTGGCCCGGCGGGGACTCGGCCAGCCCCCTGAGGGAGCCGATGGCGGCCGACAGCGCCAGCGTGTAGCTCCTGGGGTCCAGCAGGTAATGCCGCAGCTGGCACAGCCACTTCTTGGGGCACTCGTGGAAGGCGCCGGGCTGCTCCTCCGCGGCCGAGGGGGCAGCAGGAAGGGTCAGCTGGGAGTCTGCGGGCTCCGGCCCCACCTTCGCGTAGTCCTGGAAGTGCTGCTTGATCCGCGCGCTGGGGCTGACGGGGTCATTCCATGGGGAGCCCCGGGCTTTCCTCAGGGCGTAGCGGAGCCCCGGCAGGACCGACGACACCTTCCAGGGAATGTCCCTCTTGTCCCCGTACCTCCTCTTGGCGTCCGCGGGGCGTTTTTCCGCTGCGGCGGGGAAGATCAAAGAAGGGAGAGGATTGAATTCCCCCCCTCCCCGAGCGCGAGAGGAAGGGAGAAGATCCAGGGGACAGCCCAGAAAAAAGCCGGGAGATGGCCCGGTTCGGGGGGTGTTTGTAACTGCTGAGGGTAACAGAGCTGCAAGTAGGAGTCAAAACAAAAAAGTGAATTAAAGTGAGATGAAATGGCTGGGGGTGTATCGGCCAGCCCCATCCTGCAGAAAATTCCAGGGGGAGATCCCTCCCGGAGTGGTCCAAGACCCTTCACTCCACTAATTCACACGAAATCCAGCATTTCAGAGCTCTAAAATACATGGGATTTGTGGTTTTTTTTCCCCCTCTAAACTCGTTAAAAAATAGGGAGCAGCACCATTTCCAGATCACTGGAGTCCCCGTTCACATCCAGCTTCAGCAGCTCCATCTCCTCCTGCTGTGAGCGGGACGGAGGACACACAGACCCCCCCCCGGCAGGGCTGGGGGCCACAGAAATAACGCACGGGTGACTCCCCAAAGCTGATCCCGCTGAATTCCCGGTGCGACCATTGCCAAGCCTCCCTGGTGATCCCAATGCCAGCAGCACAGGCTGTCCCTGCCGCGATCGAAGCCCCTTCCCAGCAGCAGCTCCACGAGCCGCAAGGTCCCCCCGGGGCTCCCCACGCAGCCCACCTTTCCTTCCCGCTTCCAGGCCAGGTCTTCCATCCCACATTCCATAAACACCTCGCTCCCGGTGCCTCCAGGAGGAGCCCAAAGAAAGGAAATCCATGGATTTATACCTTCAGTCTCCCCGTGCTCCCGTCCCAACTCTTCCTCACGGATCTCCGCTCCCGCCGTGTCTCCCAGCGCCTCCCAGCGCCCATCCACGTGGGCCGCTGACCTTTGTTATCCCAAAGGTTGGAATTTCACAGCCTCTTCCCCCCTGGGACCCCACCCCCAGCTCAATCTGCATCTCAAAACCCCGCGAGCGCCAGCCGTACATCCCAAAAAACATTCCCGCCCCTCGCAGCGAGCGGAGCTCCCCGGGGGCTCCGCGGGGCTGCCCTCGCACGTGTCTGCAGGGAATTCGGCTCTCGGCGGCCCAGCATTCCCGGAGAGCCCGCGGGACACGCAGAGCCGCGCAGCGGAGCTCCCCTTCCACGCGAGCCAGGTTTGTCCAGCTTTTCCCTGGGCAATCCACATCTGGTGGGTGGATCGCACCCTCAGGCTTGGCCCAGCTTCCTGGCACAATCCCAGCGGTTCTCCGGACAATCCCAGCGCCCTTCCCTGTCGCCTCGAGGCGTCCCTCTTCCCTCCAAGCTGGGTGCTTTTCCTGGTCCTTGATTTTGGCAGGGCCAGGCATCCCTGGGTGGGAGCCACTTCCCAGCTGCCTGGCTCCACCTCTGGTTTGAGAATGCCTTCCCAACATTCCTCCCGACAAGGAGGGAACAGATTCCAGATGGATTGTTTGGAAATGGGAAACCTGATTATCCAAGGGAAAAGGGTTTTTAATCCCAGGAAGTGGGAATGATTTCTGCCCAAGGAAAGAGGGTTTTAATCTCAAGGGATGGGAAACCTTATTATCCAAGGAAAAAAAGATTTTTAATCCCAGGGAATGGGAAAAATTACTGTCCAAGGGAAAAGGAGGTATAATCTCAGGGAATGGGAAACATTCTTACCCAAGGAAAGAGGGGGTTTTAATCTCAGGGAATGGGAAACATTATTACCCAGGGATTATTACCCCTGAAATGCCAAATTACCACCATGGCTTCACCCAACTTCCAAACCCACCCTGTATCCGAATCCTGAAGGAAGAATTTTGTACCTGGAGATTTAAAAAACTGTTCCCTTTCACTTTGAAACCATTTCCATTGTCCTGTCACCACAAAAATCCCCCTCCATCTCCTTTGCAGGCTCCCTGTGTTTGTTCTGCACCACCAGCAGCCCATTTTGGGGCCCTCTCCCGTCTCCATCACCTTCTCCCCCAAGGTCAATCCCTCCTTGGCCTGTTCTCCTCACACTCAGCCTTCCAGGGATAAATCCTTCTGCTCCAGAGGGATTCCCTGCCCGTTGTGGGGCTGTGCAGCACGACCAAAACCAAGCCACAAGTTTATTTCCCTTCTCTCTTATTTCTTATTCCAACCCACCATGGTTTGGGTTGGAAAGGACCTTAAACCATCCTGTTCCACCCCCGACACCTTCCAGTAGCCCAGGTTGCTCCAACCTGGCCTTGGACACTTCCAGGGATCCAGGGGCAGCCATAGCTTCTCTGGGAAACCCATTCCAGCCCTTCTCCACCCTCCCAGCCAGGAATTCCTTACCAGTCTCCCACCTAACCCTAATCCCTTCCAGTCTGGAGCCATTCCCCTTGTCCTGTCACCACATGCCCTTATAAAAACACAGCCAAAACCCAAAATCCCCACTGCTTTTTTAGGGAGAATTCCCCCTTTCCCCTCCTCTCCTCACCCTCCAATTCCCTCATTTTCCACCTGGAGCCCTGTCCAGTAAGTGCCACGTGCTTAGGGATGTCAGCCCAGGGATGTCAGCCTGGCTTTGCAGGGTCAGGCTCCCAGAGGCCACTTGAGGGAGTGGGTGCTGCTGAAAACTGACTCAAAACTAATCCTTTATCACCTTTTATCGCCATTTATCACCACTTATCACCTTTTATCACCACTTATCACCATGTCACAAAGGGGTAAAGCCACCAGCAAAGCAGGGAGCAGCTTCAGACCAGCCCAAAGTGCAGCCTCAGAGGCGAGCTGGGACTTGAGCTGTTCCCACGGCCTGTGCTAAAGCTGAGCAGGAACATTCCCGGTGGCTGTGGCCGGGAGGCCTTTTTTGGTGAGGATTCCACCCCAAAAGGGAGGCCCTTTGTCTGGTGAGGATTCCAGCCCAAAAAGAGCATGTGAGGAACGGGGAGCTCCTACCTCTGAAGCACAGGGAGCGGGCCGAGGTGAACAGGAACAGGGCCAGGAGGCTGAGGGGCTCCTGGGCGTCAATTCCTGCGGGAAAGAGCAGCTTTGAGTGGGAGAGAACGGCGGGAGATTGATCCCAGATTTATCACCCCCACCTCCCTGGCCCCTCTTACCATGGTCTGGCGCCAAGGCCGAGGAGGTGAGGAAGATGAGGACCCCCTGATCCTGTAAATGTTTGACGATTGCCTGCAAGAGACACGTGGAGAGCTGGAGCAGCCCCTCCTTGGCACACTTGGCACCGCTGGCACCAGCAGCTCCCTCCCTGGCCAGGGGACACCTCCTCTCATGCCACGTGTGCCCCACAAAGGCTTCCATTTACCTCCTCAGCCAGCCCTTAAATCCCTCCTAGCTCTCCTTAAGAGCCACAAATGAAGGTAAATATGCTCAGTCAGAGGAGCTGTCACCAATTATTTGGCTCCCTCGGGGTCCAAACCAGCCAGGGAATCCCTGCTGGGAATCCTGCGGCCCAAGGGGAAGGTTTTCCTGGCAGGGAACACCAAGATCTGAGAAATGCAATGAAAATGCAACCAAAATGCACCCAAGAGCTGCAGCCACCCCCTGCCTGAAGGTTTTTAGCAGCTTTTCAGCAGCACCAAGGCCAGGGTGTGCGAAAGATGTGCTGGGTGCAGGAAAAGCCTGGAATTCTGTGCACGGCCCAGGTGGATAAAGGGATAACAGGCACTTCTGGAGCTTCTCCTTGTGTTTGGGTGGGACTTGATGGCCGAGCTTGGCTTGGCTAGGGAACACGCACTGGGATCTGTGCCTGCCACGCAGGCACATCTTTCCAGGAAAGGGAGAGAAGGTGAATAATCCTCGGCGTTTGGATGCTCCGGGAAACCCCACCAATCCCACTCCATTAATTCAGACATAACACAGAGTTGGATTCGTGCCCGGGCCTCATTCCTCCACGAAAACAGCCCAATTTGGGGAATGCTGGCCAATTCCAGTGTGACATCCACATTGTGCAGCAGCAGCTCCTGGCTTTGGCTGTGCCGAGCCAGCGGAGCAGTAGGGATAAGAGCCAGGAATTCTGCTGGATGGATCCAGCTCCTCGGAACAGCTGGGGGTTCTCAGTGACGGGATTTTCAGGAAGGTGAGGGGGAAAGTCAGGCCCTGGCACTGGGAGACATCCCTGGAACACCCAGAGGAGCAACCTCAGCCACCCCTTCATCTCCTCCCAGGGCCTGAACACCTGGCAGGGAAAGGGAGACTGAGGGAATCTTCCATTCCTGCCTTTGGGAGCTGCTGCCACAGCTGGAACCAGGGAGATTGGATTCATCCAGCTGGAGAGATACATCATAAAATCATGGAATGGTTTGGGTGGCTCCAGCTCCAACCCCAACACTTCCCACTGTCCCAGGCTGCTCCAGCCTGGCCTTGGGTACTCCCAGGGATCCAGGGGCAGCCACAGCTTCTCTGGGAAATCCAGTCCAGCCCCTCCCCACCCTCCCAGCCAGCAATTCCTTCCCAATCTCCCATCTGTCCCTGCCCTCTGGCACTGGGAAGCCATTCCCTGTCTCCTGTCCCTCCAGGCCTTGTCCCCAGTCCCTCTCCAGCTCTCCTGGAGTCCCTTTAGGCCCTGCAAGGGGCTCTCAGGTCTCCCTGGAGCCTTTCCAGAAGGAGAAGAAGACAGGGCCATCCTCGATAAGCTGATGTCCCCTCAGATCTGGGAACTGAGGAGCTGCAGCAAGGACAGATCTTTGCTGTCCCCCTTTTTTTTTTTTCCCTAGAGGCACCAGGAAGCAGGAGAATCCCCCTGGGAACAAAAACACCCGAGTGTGGTGGAAAAATGTCTTCTTGGGATCACATGTTCCCCAGCTCCCAGGGGTTGATCTTCAGTTAACAATTGATGCAGGGAAAGATGAAATCACGTTGGAGAATAAAATAACACTTCAAGCAGGGAAACTCCCATTTTTCATGACTGAAAAATAATTTTAACCCAAGTTTCAAGAGTTCCATTCCCCTCCCAGAACAATGGTTTTTAAACACTTACCAAGTCCTTTTCCTTTAGGTTTTCTACGAACTGATCCATTTTTTGTTGATCCTTACTGGATATTTCCACTTCATATAAGCTGGAATAAACCCCCTGGAAGCAGACTGGGGGCAGGAGGGAGGGAATTTGGTGTTAAAATGCTGCTTTTTGCACGAACTCCGAACAAACAAGAGCTCCTGTCCCTCGAGGTTGGGTGGAAATACTGGGATTTTAAAAGGGATTTAAAAATCCTCAGGATTTCCTCTCCCTCCTCCAGATCCGTGGGGTTTGTGCTGTTCAATATTAGATTCCAAGAATCCAGGAGGTGGCAAGTGTCTTGCCTGGTGGGGAGATCCAGATCCTATCCCACCAGAAAAACATCCCTGGCTCTCCAAACAGAGTATCCCACCCTTCCCTGTCCCAGGAATGGGCTGCTTAAGGAGTTCTGTTGGGAAGAGGGGTTTATCCCACCAGGACCCCACATGGAATGTGGACAGCAAAACATCCCTGAGTTGCCTTGGTGTTTTTTCCATGTATTTTCTTATATTCCCTGGCATTTTATTCCTCTGTAACCCCTTCCAACCAGGGCCCTGCCCTGACTCCCATGGCAATTCCCGTGGCCCAGCAGAAGGATCCCTGGGAAGGCTCTCCACTCACCTTCCTTGCCGGTGTAATTCCCTTTCCCAAAGGCCGCCTCCGGCAGTTTCTCCCTCAGCTCAGCCAGTGCCATGACGTGGCTGATGTCCAGCCTGGTAGGCCTGGGGGCACAGAGGTGGGGTGAGCAGCAGGAAGGGCTGGCAGGGGCAGGGAATGCTGGCTGCCCTGTCCCCGTGGAACCTCAGGAAGCAGCTCTGAGGAAGGGGCAGCTTCCCTGCACTTGGCTGATTTGAGGCTCCCGCTATAATCCTTAAATCCTCAAATCCTGGAATTGTTCAAGGCCAGGCTTGGAGTAGCCTGGGATAGTGGAAGGTGTCCCTGCCCATCCATATGCTCGTGGATGCTCTTTAATGCCCCTTCCCACCCAAACCATTCCACGATCCCAAATCCTTATCCGGCTGCGCCACTACCACCCAACCCCACCCTCCTGGCACTGAAGGGTCATCCTGACGGAGGCAAAACTGGCACAGGGACACCCCAAAATTCCCAGGAGAGGAAGGAAAAGGACAGCTCACAGCTGGACTGGGATGGAGCAGCTGTGGGGGGTCCTCAGGGTGATGTCGCAAAATGGTTTCCCCTGGATGGTGAGTTGTCCTCTCCACGGGCAGTAGAGATCTGGGAGAGAGGGAGAGCAGCTCAGGAAAACAGCTCAGGGAAAGCAGGAGAGGAGAACAGAGAGACTGAAGTACCTTCAGAACACCAAACACAGCCCCAGACACTCCTACCTTGGGGATCACACCGGGGCCTGCAGCGAAGGAACAAAAAGAAGAGCGTTTAGAAACTGGGAGTGTAGGGGGGGGGAAACAGGCCAGGAAAAGCCAATTCTTATGGAATTCTTATGGAACGCCAGGGAGTTGCTTACAGGTCTTCCATGGCCACGTCCTTGGGATCCCTGTACTGGCAGTAGAGCATGATGTAGGGACAGACCTGCCTGGGCCGCGGGGCCGGGCTGCCGGCGCACACCTCGTACACGTAGCACTGGGAGAGAGGGAGGAGAACAGGGATAACCCGGGGAGGGACAGGGGAACTCACCCCTGGAGCCCCAGGGAGGGGCTCTGCCCAGGTACCTGGCTCTGCTCGAAGGCCTGGCCGGGGCCGGGCGGGGCCGCGGCCGGGTCGCGGCTCTCGGCGACGTGGCAGTCGTAGCCCGGCGAGGGGCAGGTGTAGGTGGTGGTGTAATCCTCAGGGATCACCCGCACCCTGCCCTGGAACATGGCACAGAGTGTCACACAGCCCAGTGCCCGCACCGAGGGACTCCAGCAGGCAGAAATTCCCATTTCCCCCCCAAAAAATGGTGGTGGGGGAAACCCCGCCCTTCCCGATGCTGTGAGGGGTGGGGGGCATTCCAGAAATTCGGATGATTTTGGCATGGGAGATGAAGGGTCAATGCTCGGGGTGGGGAGTGGGAACAGGGTGGGTTTGGAGCCAGGAATCCAGAGGGGATGGGAGCAAGGTGGGTTTGGAGCCAGGAATTCAGAGGGGATGGGAGGAGGGTGGGTTTGGAGCCAGGAATCCAGAGGGAATGGGAGCAGGGTGGATTTGGAGCCAGAAATCACTGGGGGTGGGAGAAGAGTGGGTTTGGAGCCAGGAATTCAGAGGGGATGGGAGTAGGGTGGGTTTGGAGCCAGGAATCCAGAGGGAATGGGAGAGGGTGGGTTTGGAGCCAGGAATCAGTGGACAAAGGGGAAAGTGGTCACACACCAGCTCCACAGAGGAATAAAATGGAGCTCTGATCTGACCAATCTTAAGGATTTCCCCTCAAACCCCCCAAATGCAGGAGAATCCAGGGAAAATGTGACTGTGGGGTCTGATTTTACAGCCTCCCCCCCAGTTACAGGCACCAAAAGTCTCCTTAAAACCCACTTGTGCTGTTTAGTGGCCTCTGAAAACCACTCCACACACACCAAACTCCCTTGGATTTTACCTTAATTAGCTTGCAAATGACAATATATCCCGATTCTCCGTGGTGCCAGGGTCTGGGGTGGAGACAGTCTGCATGCTTGGAAATATAAACCCCTGGGAAAACAGGATAACGTGAATCACCTGTCCAGTAAAGACATTCCCAAAACAAAAACAAACCACCTCTGGGAAGAATCCTGGGAATGAGAGGCTCTGTACAGCCACAAAAAGGGGCAAAGATCTTTCTGTCTTCCTTTTTTTTTTTTTTTTCCCTTGGTTCTTCATTCCTGATTTATGTTTGTGGAGATGTGTAGGGAATTCTCGGGGGGGAAACAGGGGCTGAGCAGAGGGGCACCCTAATACTGCCCTCAGTCCCCCAGGACTGAGGTTTATTCCCAAAGAAACCAGTTTGGTGACTGGTTTTTTTTCAGGAAAAAAGGGGAATGGAGAAGTGAAGAGATGGCAATGTTCCCTGTGGAAGATCCCATCCTTGGTTGTGGGGGCAGAGGGAAAACTGCTGCTCCATCTGGTAAATCCAGTGCAGAAAAAAGGGATTTTCCAGGGATCCTGGCAGAGGCAGCAGCAGGAGTTCGTGTTCTGCCTCGGATTTTTTCAGGGAGCCAGTATTCCCAGGGCAGGGAGTCTGGGTTCTCCCCATGGAATTCTCACCTTTGGCCGGGTCTCCCAGCGTGGAAATGGAGCTGCTGTTGACACGGAGGCCGCTCTGACACACTGCCTTTGCCTTGGAGAGAGCACAGACAGCCCTTTGCACACTGATTTCCCACAAAGCAGGGCACAGGGAGCAAAGCCCGTCCCCAAGCAGCTGGAAAAACACTTGCAAGGATAAAGGACAAGGAAATAAAATGTCCACGGGAAGAAGCAACGGGGAGAAAAGAGAATTCAAGGCCCAAAGCCACCCGTGGCATCAGGAAATCAAGTGAAAGGAATTCCCACCGCGTCCCCCAGGCATCCTGGAAAAACTCCCCTCACAAAATCCAAGGCATCCTGGTGAGAAACGGGTAGGGATCATTTCCCCAGGAGTTGGGGGAGGCTCCTTCTGCTCTCAGCTGGCAGAATCCAGGGAATCTGCCCTCCCCAAGCCCCCGCCCCCCCCCCATGTCCTGTCCCACAGCGGCTTTTCCAGGTGGGCACTGCAGGCCTCACCCCCTGCACTTGGCACAGGGCAGGGTTAGGTGGACATTGGGAAGGAATTGCTGCCTGGGAGGGTGAGGAGGGGCTGGAATGGGTTTCCCAGAGAAGCTGTGGCTGCCCCTGGATCCCTGGGAGTGTCCAAAGCCAGGCTGGAGCAACCTGGGACAGTGGGAGGTGTCGGGGGCAGAACAAGATGGGCTTAAGGTCCCTTCCCACCCAAACCATCCCGTGGCTCTGTGACAGATCCACTGGGACAAAGGGAAACTCCTCCTGTCTCCCTGCAGAGGGCAAAGGAAGCAGCCAAATCCCAAAGAGAAGTGACTGGAGAGACGGAAAATAAGACCCATCCCTCAAACCTTCCTCCCGGAGCTCCTTCCAGCGGCAATTCCAGGGCCCAGAGAGCCGGGACTCCTCAGCCCCCAGCTCTGCTGGGCTCTGGTGGGATGGAGCAGCCACTGGGGATCAAACTGGAGCTGCCAAACATTCCCAGGTTACCTCTTCTTCCTTGTCATACAGGAGGAAGCCAAAGGTGTCCTGCAGCTCCTCCCGGCTGTACCCGGCGGCTTCCTTGGCTCGGGCGAAAGCTCCCAGCTGGAAAACACCGGGAAAACTCCCCTCCTTTATTCCATGTCCTCTCAGCCTGCCCCAAACACCCCCCGCATTCCCAGGACGGGGCAGATCCAGCAGCCAGGTGGTGCTGGATCCAGCTGGATCAGCTGTTCCGGGGCACTTCCAGGGAGAAGGTTGTGGGAGCAAAGAGGATCCGTGGCTCAGGGAAGTGCTGGGAGCATGGGATTTTCCCAGGGGGGTTGGAAGGTAAGGGAGCAACAGCCCCGTCACTGCTTTTGCCTTTTTGGGGTTCAGAACTCCCAGGCAAAGCAACAAGTGACTTGAAACCCCTATTTTTTTATTCTGGCCCCACGGTGATTATCCCAGATTTAGGCGGCTTTTACTCCTCCAGGCTCTCGCAAAAAGGATGGGGAGAGACTTTGGACAAGGGCATGGAGTGATGGGACAAGGGGGAATGGCCTTAAGCTGGAGGAGGGCAGGGATAGATGGGATACTAGGAAGGAATTATTGGCTGGGAGGTGGGGAGGGGCTGGACTGGATTTCCCAGAGAAACTGTGGCTGCTCCTGGATCCCTGGGAGTGTCCAAGGCCAGGCTAGAGCACCCTGGGACAGTGGGAGGTGTCCCTGCTGTGGAGGGGTTGGAATTGGATGATCTTTAAGGTCCCTTCCAGCCCAATCCCCTCCATGATCCTCAAATGCCCAAACCCTGTTTGATCCATGACAACAGGCAGACTGGGAATGCCCAGCTCCCAAAGCAGCCTGTTTTCCAGGCCAGTGGCAGTGGGAATGTAGGGGTGGAGGGGTTTTAGAAGGGGGTCTGTACCCACCACAGTCAGCTGGAAAGAAGGGTTAAACCCCAAAGAAATCCCACATGGAATTCTGCCTTTAATGCAAGTCTTTCAAGCTCTCCTGATGGATATTAAAGGGACTTTTCCCTGCTCCAAAGGCCTCCTCCGGGAACTGCCTTGGAATGCTGAGCCCCAGTGGCTGAATGGACCTTTTGTTCCTGACCAAACAGGGATGGAAGGGAAAGAAAGGGAAGACGGGAACTGGGAAAGGGGCCCTGGGAGCAGCTCAGCTGAACAGGAAACACAACCCTGCCCAGAAACCAGAATTGAAGAGCTCTGCAATTCCCCAAAAAAAAACCCCTTCCCGAGCTTCCAGCAACACCCCACTCCTCCTGCGGCCTCACCTCACTCCGGAAAGCCTCATTTTCCACCAGGATGGCCCGGCTGTACCGGAACCCGCCCCGGGCAGTGGGGTCCAGGTAGGAGCTGTGCAGCACCGCCACCGCCCTCTGCAGCAGGGAATCCCCCGGCTCCATGGGAAACCCTGCGGAGCAAAAGGGAGGTGAGGAACATTCCCTGGGGGCTCCTCCACATCCACCTGGGGCTGCTGCCCCGCAGATCCTCCCGCTCCGCATCCCAGATCATCCCAGATCCCAAATCCCTGCGGGATCAATTGCTCCTTGGCAGGGGGGGAGGGTCTGAACTCCCTGGAAGTTTTCCCTTTGGAAAAAAGGGATTAAGTGCAGAGGAAGTGCCAGAGGCAAAGCCTGGTGGGAAATCAACTTTTCCTTGGGGCAGGGCAGAGTTTCCTCCCATGTTTGAAGTCACTTGGATTCATGGAATGGGTTTTTTCAGGAGGTGAGAGCCACACGTTGGAGAATTCCGGGTTTGTGCTCAGGTTTTTTTTTTGGGATTCTCTGTTTTCCTGCAGAGCTCTTGAGGGGAGGGGGGTGTAGGTTTTGATGCCTCTCCTCCAGAGCCTCCTCCAGAGGCAGATCTTTCTCACATCCCAAACCCTCTCTCTGGACATTCCCAAAACAAAACACCCCACTGAAAACACTTCCTGTTGGAGGTAGTTTTTATGATTGTAAAGAACATAATTATGGTGGTTAAAACAGCCTGTATTATAAGTGATTTTTAGGTGTGATATTGTCGTTGAGCTGCAGCTTCAATTGTCATCATGTTGCAAGTGGTTGCCATGGACATGGTGCTCAAGAGCCAGTGTCAGCTGCCACTGGACAGTTCGTGGAGCCACAGCAGCTCGACCAATCCCTGACTTACCCTGTTGCTATCCTACCCCTACATACATATGTATATGTTCCCTATGTTTATGTATTTTCCTATACCCAATCCTAGTTGGAGGATTAGCATGCTCCTCCTATTCTCCTCCCATATTCCTGAAGCTTCCTCCCCAATCCCTATAAAACCCCTCCATTTTCTAATAAAGTTGATTCAGCTCTGTTACCCCAACACTGAGCTAGCTGGTCTGCATTTCCACTTAATTCCAACAAGTGGCGCCCAACGTGGGGCTAACAAACCCCGGAGCTGGATCACTCCTTTCCCATTTCTCAAAGCCGTGCCAAATGGAGCCCAAAACTAGGGCTGACCTGTAGATTTTACGTTTTAGGAAAAATCTACACCGCTCAAAGAGGGCAATAACTGCAGGGGTGTAGAAGAGACCCTGCAGCTCCAGTGGCTTCCCAGGGCGAGACTGACCTTCATGTCCTCTCACTGCCTTCGTTGGACGTCGGATGGGAGAGGTGAGTGCCCTGGGCATTCCCTACCTTCCTACCCCATCTCCAGACCCCATACTAAAAAAGAAAAAACTACATAAAAATCGAAAAATTACTACAAAAAATAAAATAGAAAAAAAGAAACGGCAACAATGGGAGCCTCCCCTTCGAGGGACGAACTTAAAATGTATGAACATTTAAAAGCTTTAATTAGAAGATGTAACTATCCTTTGGACAAAAGCTCCCTAAAATCTTTAGTGAAATGGATCTACAAAAACATCGATCCTATTCCAGAAATTCTAACTTATATGAAATGAGCGAAAATCGATTCTGCATTGGCAATAGCAATTTTTAATGGAGACAGTCACGCAGTAAAGACTCTAAAAGCGTGGAAAACCATCTTTATAATATTCAAGAAAATTTGGAAACAACTATTACACAACATCAAAACCAAATATATGAAAGTGACTGTCCTCAGAATATTAACATCGATGAGGATAACAATTTGCAGGACTGTAATAAAACTTCTGCCACTTATAATCTATCTCAAAATGGCGACGAATTCATTTTTCAGTCTGCGTCACTCTCCCCCTCACTACCACCTAACATGGCGGGGGAGGACTTCTCAAGGGCAGAGGGACAAAATGGCGACGAACTAGAAAAACACTTCATGTATGGTGGCGATAAAGGCAGCGTGTTAGACCAACAGTGGGAAAATTTTCACGGGTTACAGGAGGGAGGAGAGGGTGGCGCGAGGGAGCAATCATGGGAAGTCGTGTCTCCACCCATTATTACGTCACCTGACACATCACCTCTACCCTCCTCTGTGACTAACATCACCAATGTCGCCCCGGAAGTCCCTAACCTTCAAGATGGCGGCAACCATAACACTTCCACCACTCAGGATGTAAACATCCGACAAGATGGTGCCGCCCACCAGCCATTTACCGATGCCGTACTGCCTGCAGGCAACCTTACTACTTCACCTGCCAATTCTGATTTAATAACAAGGCGGAATCCAATTCTACCATTTTCTGAACCATTACAACGGCAGCTCCGAATCCTCAGACCTGGGGGAAACTACACCTATGTGTCATTTAACAACCGCACTACTCGCCGAAAAAGAAATCTTCACAGACCTTTTCAGCAAGATCCTCGCCCAGTTACATTCTGGAGTGCAGACAACTAAGGAGACTTTTGTCTTTTCAACGTATTTTTTCTAACCATTTTACTTTTCAAGTTTAAAATATTTTTATACAATTATAACTGTGTTGTAGTTTTGCAACTGCTTGTTTGGGTTTACCTTAGTTTGTACTTGTGTTTCATGTTTACCATGGGTTTAGAAATCTTCATGCTAAATTAAAGACCTCTCTCCCTCCCTCTCAGCTAACACTAACTGGAAATAATAAGCTGCCTCACGGTGGATGGCCGCGAGGTAAAGAAGGCCTCTGCGCAGAGGTTCCCCATCCAAGTTTCTATTTCCCCTTCAAATAATAAGCTACCTGACTGATGGTGCCGTCACTCAAAAGCGATGAGTTGCTGCGGGGTAAAGAAGGTCTCTGCACTGGAGTTCCCCTTCCCTACTCTCTATTCCTAAACCCTTCTAACCCTAAAAACGGGTCTTAAGTAACATCTAACTTGGAGATTTGTCTTTTACAAATATTATTTTATTAATAATGCCTTTATTAAGTTTTTTATTTCACATCCTACTGTCTCTTGTGGACAGGAGAGAGGAGAGTAAAAAATATGGAAACATCCATATTACCTCTTTTATCTTTTTCTATCTAGAATAATTTTTTTACTGCTTTTATTACACCCTTTTATCCAAGTTCCTGTTTTCCCCAATTATCAGGATTTCATGTTTAACACCAAAAATCACAATACACACACTCCACCATGCGAATGTCATCACTATTAATTGTTCTAAATAAAAATATTCTCTCTCAAAACACAATATCCATCAAACCAAATCATAACATCTTTAGAGTTAATCTTATCACAACATCATCCGAGATTTTTAGTTTGATTATTATCCATTCTTTAATTTCTATTATTATTACTATTCCTTATAGTTCCCCCTCTTGTTTGTTAATCAATTTCTATTACGTATTCTCATCATTTGATTGTAAAAATCTTTAATCACAAGATTATTTATTTTCATATATATATATGTCTTATATTTTTATAATCTGACTGTTAATGTAATATTTTGTAAAGTTGTCGTATTTCTTTTTAAGTCTAAATGATATATTTCATCTAATATAAATTACACTAATTTCTTATTCTATTTATTATTAATATTAACTAATATATTGTACAAAATATTATTTTAATTTAATTTAAGTTATAAAACAAAAAAGGGTGATATGTTGGAGGTATTTTTTATGATTGTAAAGAACATAATTATGGTGGTTAAAACAGCCTGTATTATAAGTGATTTTTAGGTGTGATATTGTCGTTGAGCTGCAGCTTCAATTGTCATCATGTTGCAAGTGGTTGCCATGGACATGGTGCTCAAGAGCTGGTGCCAGCTGCCACTGGACAGTTCGTGGAGCCACAGCAGCTCGACCAATCCCTGACTTACCCTGTTGCTATCCTACCCCTACATACATATGTATATGCTCCCTATGTTTATGTATTTTCCTATATCCAATCCTAGTTGGAGGATTAGCATGCTTCTCCTATTCTCCTCCCATATTCCTGAAGCTTCCTCCCCAATCCCTATAAAACCCCTCCATTTTCTAATAAAGTTGATTCAGCTCTGTTACCCCAACACTGAGCTAGCTGGTTTGCATTTCCACTTAATTCCAACAACTTCCCACAGAGAGAGATCCCAAAACAGTTGAGAAATTAAACATGGACTCAGAAACCAAGGAAAAACCTGGAATGTTTGTGCTTTTGAAGCTGATAAAATCCTAAATTTAAATACTAAGCACCCACCCGGAAATCCAGGACTGGTTTAAAAAAAAAATCTTTATTCCTGGGGGGTGATCCCTGAGATTCCAAATCCCAAACCGAGGGGGGTTTCGGCTCCTATTTTTTTTAAGGGGAATTTCTGATGGTTGTTGTCTTTCCCTCCCCTCAGTTCTAAAGGAGAGGAGGTGGAATCGTTCCCTGGGTCCCCTTTGATATTCCTCTCAAATTATTCGAGGGTGAAAACATGAGGGAAAAAAAGAAACCAGTTAAAATGGGGTGTTTTAAACTCATTTCTCTGCCAGTTCCCACTGTGGGAAAAGACGGAAAATAAGGAAATAATAACAACTAAAAGGGAAAATGAAAGGAAAACACACAAATCCAGACAGGGCAAGAAGGGAAAGGGACCTAAAAACAGTCCAAGGTATGGTGAGAATGGAAACCCGGAGCACAGAAAGGAAAGTCCTTAAAGCTCTTTTGCCTGTTTGAAACCTTCTTTTTGTGCCCTTCTGGATTCACTTCCTACTTCCAGAGGTGATGCCTCTGGAATCACCAGAAGGAGGGGGAACAAAGCAAGTGAATGCCAAGAGCAGGGAAAACAAAGGGGCTTCCCAGCTCTCTCTGGGGGTTATTGCTGCACCTCTTCGGGCCAGTTTACCCAATTTTCTCCTCCTTTTTGCTTCGTTTCCCGCATCCTGTAAATCCCAGGGAAGCAGCCAGAGAGCCCAGGCGTCTCCATGGGGAATCAGATCATGGAATTAAAAGGTTTGGACCAAAACATACCCCCCCCCTCTTTTTATTTCCTCCTTGCTGGAGCACCACCACCACAACAACACTTTCACCTTCAGGGCTGAAAGCTCAAGGCTTAAAACACACACCCCTCTAAAAAAAAGGCTGGAAAACTCTTGGAAAAGCATTAATCCCAGGAAATTTGCTGGAGGGGATCGCTCCAAAAGGAAAGTCCAGGCAGGGAACACCCTCCCCCCCAGGTTGATTAATAATGTGCAATAAATAAATCCATAAACAAGCAGGTGACAGGAAACACTCCCAGGGTGCGGATTCCTGTGGGATGGAGGGGGAGCCTTTGGAAGGAAAAGCCTCCCAGTCAGAGGCACCAAAGTCCTGGCACATCCGGGATTTTTCTGGAGGAGTAAAGAAGTCCTTGATCTGAGAAGGCTCTGAGGAGGTGAAAGCGAAAGTGCCTGAGCCTGAAGTAAAAGTGAAAGCGTCCAACCCCCTGGGAGCAGCCTGGGAATGCCACTGGAGGATCCTCCAGGAATGGGATTGACTTCCTGTCAGCAGAGACCTCCCAGAACTGAGGGCTGGAGGAACCCACGGCGGGGGTTTATCCAGGAAATCCCAGGGGAGGGAATTCCTCCCCTGATAACCAGGAATGAAATCAGGCTCCTTCAGAGCTCTGAATTCCAGGGAAAGCTGATTTTCCCTCTGTGTGGCTGTGCAGGAATCCTCCTCCAAGAGCCCTGCATTCCTTGGAATTGGGTGGATCTGCTCCTTCCTCCCCTTTCTCCAGACCTGGAACCGGCTCCTCTGACCTTTCCTCCCGGATCCTGCCTTACAGATATCCCGACATTCCCTGTGCTGGCCAGATATCCATGGACCACAAACCCCTTGGGAGCTGCAGGCCTGGGCCCCCCTTCCCAAATTAGGGTCAGCTGAGCCCAGGGAACACAAACTTCCCACCCAACCCAGGACGTTCTTTAGGCTCATCCCTTTTTTTTGGGTGCCCTCTGGAAGGCCTCCCCACACACCAACTCCTGCCATCAATCCACAGGGAAAACCCATGGACTTCCAGCCACTGGGATTTCCAGCCACTTACACAGAGAGTTTGCTTTTCTTTGGGGGGGGGGAGGTTTGTTTGTTTGGTTTTTGGTTTAAAACCTTAAAATTTGAGGAGCTACAAACACTCGTATCCTGCCAAATCCTCCACATTCCAGAGCCCAGGGAACACACTCCCAGAGCTCAGCTGCTCCTTTCCCACAGCCTGGATTCCCTGGCTTTTCCTGGCCTGATCCCATGCTGAGGATGAGCTGGAACAACGAGCATCCACAGCAATGCCAGCCCTGGCAGCTCCTCAGGATCACCTTCCCAACTTCTCCATCCCCCATCCCGATTCCCTGCTTTCCCTGTGTGGGATCCCCCCTGGACAGCCCAGGAACTCATCCTGGCTGATTCCACACTCGGGATCATCTCTGCAGGGAGGCTTTTCCTTCTCCTCCTGGAGGGCTCTGGGAGTGTCCCACTGGCAGCATTTCCCCGGACCAGCAGGTTTAAACGGGATACTGGGGAAATTTCCTCCCCAAAAAGGGGAAGATCTATCTGCACAGGCCTTGGGATCACTTCATGGCTAGGCTTCGCGAACGAAGATTTGGGATCACTTAACCAGCTTGGAAAAAGCCAAAGTCTTAAAATGAAAATAAAAGTTAAAAGGAAATTAAAAAAAAAAAAAAAAAAAAAAGGCTGTTTTCTGTGCCCTTAACCCTCTTCTCCCCAGGGAAAAGTGGGATGGTAAGCCAGTAATCCTATTCTCCCTCGGGGAGGGGGTGATGGAGTCGGGATCTCTCTTCCAGCCAGGGGAGGGTGGGATGGAGCTGGTGTTCCTGGTGTCCCTCCCCTCTCCCACGGAAGGCTGGGATGGAGCCACTAATCCTCTTCCACTCGCGGGAGACTGGGAGGGAGCCAGTAATCCTCCCCTCTCCCTGGAAAGGGTGGGATGCAGCTGGTAATCCTCCCCTCCCAAGGGAAAAATGGGATGGAGCCCATAACCTTCCCCTCTCCAGGGAAAAGCGAGATGGAGACCGTAACCTTCCCTTCTCCCAGGGAAGGGTGGGATGGAGCCAGTAATCCTCCCCTCTCCAGGGAAAAGTGGGATGGAGCTGGTAACCTTCCCCTCTCCCAGGGAAGTGTGGGATGGAGCCAGTAATCCTCCCCTCTCCAGGGAAAAGTGGGATGGAGCTTGTAATAGAAGGGTTAACTTTGTTCATAAAATCTTACGTGTATGAGGGAATAAGGAACTTTTGTTATAATTCAACAAGATAAGTTTCATGGACATCCTGTTAATCAAGCAAGTATCAGTAAAAATAATTGCAGACATCTTGCTAAGCAAACAAGTATCAGTATCAGTAAAATTTACAACTGATAAGAAACTGCACCTTTCATCTCTGACAAATACCAGATGACCACTTAAGAATGAGCTACAAACTCAAGCCTCAACGCAGCCGCATTAAAAACTCGGGACTTGGAAATGTATAAAAAGGAACATTTACTACATTTTGGTGTGTGCTTCGGCAGGGCACTTGCCCTCCAGGCCACCCAGCGCTGTTTTGCTTTATTATCGCTTGCTTAATAAATTTATCAATGTTTAATTGGAATTGAGTTGTCTAAATTCTTATACTAACTTATAACAGAGCTGGTAACCTTCCCCTCTCCCAGGGAAGGGTGGGATGGAGCCAGTAATCCTCCCCTCTCCAGGGAAAAGTGGGATGGAGCTGGTAACCCCCTTCTACCCAGGGAAGAGTGGGATGAGGACGGTCGCCCTCTTCTCGCTAGGGAAAGGTGCGATGAAACCGGTGGCCCTCCCGTGTCCCAGGGAAGGCGAGGGAAGGGTCGGATGGAGTCGGTCGCGCTCCTTTCCCAGGAAAATGGGGCATAAAGCAACCCACCCCGCCCCGTCCGCATTCCCGGGAAAGCTCGGGACGGAACCCTCAACCCTCCCTCGTCCCGGGAAAGCTCGGGACGGAACCCTCAAGCCTCCCTCGTCCCGGGAAGCTCGGGATGGAGCCTTTAACCCTCCCTTGTCCCGGGGGAGGTCGGGCCGGAGCCGCCCGCCCTCTCGTTCCCTCTCCCCACTCACCCGCGGCGGGCTCGCCGCTCTGCCGGCCCCGCCGCCCGTCCATGGCCGGCGCTGCTCCCTCAGGCCGCCCTCATGGTTGCCCCGCCGGAGGACACAGCGGTGCGGGGCGGCCGCCGCCACCCGCCGGCCCCAGGAAGTGAGGGGATGTCCGGGAAAGGGAGGGAGGGAAGGCGAGAGGGAGGAGGGGATGGAGGGCGGGAGCGGCGGAATGTGTGTGCGTGCCTGTGAGCTCGTGAGGCGGGGAGGGGGGAGGGAGGAATAAAGAGAAAGTGAAAACTGAACCGGAAAGAGAGTCCGCGGGTGTTCCTCTTCCCGCGGTCACTCAGCCACGTTGGCTGTCCGCTGGTTTTCTCCTTCCCGCCGGCACCGAGCCGTGGTGGCCATGCCCGGGCTTCCCCTCTTCCCGCCGTCCCTCAGCGCTGCTCCCTCATGGCTGGCTCCTGGCTCCGGCCCCAGTGTTTTCCCTCAGCCCCCTCCCCCCCGCGCCTGTCCACAGCTCTTCTCGCTGTCCCTTCCCTCTTCCCCTCACAACATGGCCAGAGCCCCTTTTCTCAGTGTTTTCCCTCAGCCCCTTGGTTTGGACCCTCCCTCAGTCCCACAACCCCTCCCTTCATTCCCTCGGCCCATTCACCTCATCCCTTCTTTCTTTCACCCCTTGCATCATGTCCAGGGCCCCTTTTCTCGTCTCAGTCCTCCCCCCTCAGCCCCTTGGTTTGGATCTTCCCTCAGCCTCCCTCAATCCCCTCCTTGATCACCTCAGTTCGTGTCTTCAGCTCTTCCCGCTGCCCCTTCTCTTGACCCCTCAGTCTTCTTCTCCTGCCCTGAGTCAAACCCTCACCTCAGTGCCTTCCCCAGAGCCTTGTTTTGGACCTTCCCTCATCCCCTTGTCCCCTCACCCTTCACACCATGGCCAGAGCCCCTTTTCTCACCTCAATCCTTCCCCCTCAATGTTTTCCCTCAGCTCCTTGGTGTGGATCTTGCCTTAGTTGCCTTTGAGCCCCCTCTGATCCCCTCAGCCCCTCCATCTTCTGGTCTTGCCTTTGCCCCTTCCCTGTCTCCTCAGTCTTCTCCTGCCCTAAGCCCCATAACTCAGCTCAGTGCCTTTCCAAGTGCCTTGTTTTGGACCTTTCCTCAGTCCCCTCCAACCCTTCCCCTCATCCCCTCTTTCCCTCACACTTCAAGGTCATTCCCTGAGCCCCTTCCCTCACCTCAGCCCTTTTCCCCGCAGAATTTTCTCTCAGCCCCTCAACACCCTTCCTGATCCCCTCAGTCCTCCATGCCTGTTTTCAGCTCTTCCCACTGCCCTTCCTCATCCCCTCAGTCTTCTCCCGCTCTGAGCCCATCCCTCACCTCAGTGACTTTCCCAGAGCCTTGTTTCAGGCCTTCCCTCAATCCCAAAACTCCTTTCCTCATCCCCTCACAGCATGGCCACAGACCTTCCCTCACCTTCCCCCTCAGTGTTTTCCCTCAGCCCCTTAGTTTGGACCCTCCCTCAGGGTCCCACAACCCCTTCCCTCTTCCCCTCAGCCCCTTCCCCTCAGACCTTCTTTCCCTTATCCCTCACATCATGCCCAGAGCCCCTTCCCTCACCTCGATCCTTACCCCTCAGTGTCTTCCCTCAGCCCCTTGGTTTGGATCTTCCCTCAGCCCCCCTCGAACCTTTCCCCTCACCCCTCTTTCCCTCACTCCTAAAATCATGCCCAGAACCCTTTCCCTGACCTCAATCCTTCCCCCTCAGTGCTGTCCCTTAGTTCCCCCACAAACCCCTTCCCAGATCCCCTCAGGATCAGGGATTTTCTTCCTTTCCATCTTTCTTTCTCCTTTCTAGTCCCTTCCCTCATCTCCTCACCCCGTTTCTGTGGCTCTCACCTCAGTGCCTCCCTTCAGCCCTCAGCCCCATCCCTGTCTTCCATGTCCCCCTTGTCCCTCATGGCATGGGGTACCCCTGCAGTCCCAGGCCACACACACAGGGAAATAAGTGTTTAAGCAGAAAAAGTAGATAAATCTGGTTTTCCACCAGCACCTGGAATCTGTTTGGATCAGCCCAGAAGGGAGAGAGTTTGGCTTTGAGCAGTTGCACATAAACCACTATCCCAGGTTGCTCCAAGCCCCATCCAAGCTGGCCTTGGACACTTCCACGGATCCAGGGGCAGCCACAGCTGCTCTGGGAAATCCAGTCCAGCCCCTCCACACCCTCCCAGCCAGCAATTCCTTCCCAATATCCCATCTGTCCCTGCCCTCTGGCACTGGGCAGCCATTCCCAGTGTGCTGTCCCTCCAGGCCTTGTCCCCAGTCCCTCTCCAGCTCTCCTGGAGCCCCTTTAGGCCCTAGAAGGGGCTCTCAGGTCTCCCTGGAGCCTTCTCTTCCCCAGGATGAACATTCCCAGCTGTCCCAGCCTGGCTCCAGAGCAGAGGGATCCAGCCCTGGGAGCAGCTCCGGGGCCTCCTCTGACCTCTCTCCAGCAGCTCCACGTCCTTCTGAAGTTGGGACCCCAGAGCTGGGCACAGCTTACCCTACAGCTCTCCATACAAGTCTGACCAGCTCCATGGGGAAAATTCTCTTGCCCTGCTTGCTCAGGTGAATCCTTTAATGTCTCCTCCTTCCCAAACCAACTCCGACTGGGAGAGAGGAGAGTCCCCTGTGTTCCACATCCTTTCAGTGATGCTCCAAGAGAGTGGGATGGGGCTGAGGGACTGAAGGGAAGGCCATGGAAAAGGGGTGAGAAGATGAGGGAAGGGGCCAGAATGGATAAAAAAGATGAGAGGGAAGAACCTGAGGGGATCAGGGAAGGGCTGAGCGTCCCTTTTGATGGTTCTGAGTTGCCTCTTCACAATATCATCAGAACAGTAGGAGCAGATAATTTTTAGGTTCCACCAGGCTCAGCAGCCTCTGGGGAACACCAAAAGTACAGCAAATCGTGACGTTGCAACAGAAGCTGGAGCAGGGAACAGGGAGATCTGGCCTTGCCCAACCTCTTACACAAGAGGTTGGAGGAACACCCTGTGCCCAAGTCGGATCATGTGTTTGGCTGTGCAGGGAGATCAGTCTTGGAGGGGAGCCCACCTGCCATTCCAGGTACTTTTGGTAACAAGATCCGTGAGAATATTAAAAAGTAAATTACTATTACCAATGCTAAATTATTATTATCCGTAATAAATCCACGGATAGGCTGGTTCCTGATCCTCGCTGGCATTTGGGTATCTGTGCTCTGCTGATCTCACTCAGGCTGTTTTCAGCCCTTGGCAGGGCAGACTGGCAAACATAGGGGGGATAAAAAGCAGAAGGAACAAAAGGACAGCTCACTTATGAGTGACTTATTACCCATAATGTGCCATTACGGATGTGCCACCCATCCCAAGAATTTGCCCTGGCAGCAGCAGGGAGTTCAAAGTGCCTCAGTCCCGTGAAAAATCAGCAGGTCCACAGCCAGAACACCCAGGTTTACACCTCAAACGTGACCCCCGAGTCCCTGTCACGAGTGTTTGAGCAGCGGGGGTCATTTATGGTGAGGAAACAGAGGATTTCAGGTGAGAACTGATCTATTCTATTAGAAAAACAAAGACTTGGAAGGAATTTTATCATCGATTTTGATGGCTGGATTTGATCATCTTCAAGGTCTTTTCCAGCCTGTAATGATCCCATATAATTTTGCAGAGGGGAGAGTAACTGGAGCCTCTGGAGGCCAAACCATTTCTAACTGGAGTTTTTATGCTCCTCCTGTGGTGCTGCCCAACTTTTTGGGGTGTAAACTGTGCGACAGGAGAGCCTGTGATCTCACCCTGGTGGGGACTCAGTTCCTGGCAAGGCTCTATTTTGGCTTCTCTGAAGACTGACTCATGGAGTCCTGGGAGTCTAAAACAGGGAAGCAGCCACTCAAAGTTCTATTTCCTCTTTTCTTCACAATAAAAGACCCAAATGAATGGTGCCATCACCCAAGGAAATGAGGAGCAATGGAATGAGTCAAGAGCAAATAACTAGGTGAGATCTCATTGTTGAGGGCCAGGTGCTGCCTAAAGTGAACTAACACAGCCTGAAAACATGGATAGGACCTGCTCCCTCCCCTGCTCCTGCCTTGGGGAAGAAGGTGACACAGGAATACATGGAAACTGGGTTTTTCTCTTATTTCTTTAAAATCAGAGCTCATGGAATGCTTTGGGCTGGAAGGGACCTGGAAGATCATCCAGTTCCACCCCCTGCCATGGGCAGAGACACCTCCCACTATCACAGCCTGGCCTTGGACACTTGCAGGGATCCAGGGGCAGCCACAGCTTCTTAACCAAAGGATAAAATGCAAAGTCTGGAAGTTCCTGATCCCAAATTTCTACTTTATTCTACACCACTGCCAACATTTATCTCATCCCCTAAAGGTGTCTTGCCCCATCCTTCCAGAAAAACTCCCTCAATCCCTTTAGGATCTTGCAGCACCACAACCAAATTCTGCCCAAGACCTTTAATTCTGTTGTGTAAAAAACAGGGGAAAAGTCTTCAAAAATACCCCAGCAAAGACCATCCCAAGACCTTTAATTTGGTCAAAAATATGGGAAAATCTTCAAAAAAACCCCTGTCCCTGGTGTGTTCCTGCAGTGTAGATACTCCACAGCAAGACACAGTTTAAGGTTTTCACTTTCTGCTTGAACTTGTTCTTATGTCTGAGGTTTTTCCTGAATTCTTTTGGCACCTAAGAAACTTAAGAAGCTTCCTAAGAAACCACTCTGTTGCTCTGACAGACATTAAAATAGTTCGGGGGTGGGGGGAGTCACAACCAAAGTCAAAACCCACCCACCCAACCCTCCAGAAAAGCCCTGAAGAAAAACCCACCTCGTTTAGAGGAGTTTTCTCAATGGTGCAAACTGTAAAACCACACTCAGGGAATGAGTCAAAGATGACCAGAAAGTGCCAAAATGCAGATGAGTATTTTCAGCAGGGAGCAAATGATTCTTTTTTTTTTTCCCAAGTCCCTTTGCCATTTTTCCACCATTTTTTTTTAATCAGTATTGGCGTTGTTATTAAAAATTATTAGTTGTGCTGCTTATCCTGGATTTTTTCAATGTAAGCCTGAAAACAGAGTTTAAATATTAATTGTTGCTCCTTACAAGGAGCCAGGAGGTACGAGACCTTTCTGGAAGCAAAATGTTTGATCGTGGCAAAATCATGGAATTATGGAATGGGTCGGGTTGGAAAGGACTTAAAGACCATCCAGTTGCAACAACAGGGACACATCCCACTGTCCCAGGCTGCTCCAGCCTGGCCTTGGACACTCCCAGGGATCCAGGGGCAGCCACAGCTTCCCTGGGAAATCCATTCCAGCCCCTCCCCACCCTCCCAGCCAGGAATTCCTTCCCAATCTCTCATCTGTCCCTGCCCTCTGGCACTGGGAAGCCATTCCCAGTGTGCTGTCCCAGTACCATAGCACCCCCACCCCAGTGCCCCCATTACCCCTCTCCACACACACCAGTGCCCCCAGTATCTGCTCCCCGTACCAGTGCAACCAGTATCCCCTTCCTGCACATCCCAGTTCCCCTGTCCCCACCCCAGTGCCCCCATTACCTGCTCCTTGCACACATCAATCCCCCCAGTCCCTCTCTTCTCCACACCAGTGTCCCCAGTTCCTCTCCTCACACACACCAGTGTCCCCAGTTCCTCTCTCTTCTCCACACCAGTGTCCCCAGTTCCTCTCCTCACACACACCAGTGTCCCCCCAGTTCCTCTCCTCACAGACACCAGTGTCCCCAGTTCCTCTCCTCACACACACCAGTGTCCCCAGTTCCTCTCCTCACAGACACCAGTGTCCCCAGTTCCTCTCTTCCCACACACCAGTGTCCCCAGTTCCTCTCCTCACACACACCAGTGTCCCCAGTCCGCCATTACCGCCCCCACACGCCCCAGTGCCCCCTTATCCACTCCCTACACACACCAGTGTCCCCAGTCCCAGTCCCTTCCATACCAGCGCCCCCAGTTTCTCTCCCCTCCACACCAGTGCCCCCAGTCCCAGCGCCCCCGCCCCCTTGCCTGGCTCCCCGGCACTACAAGTCCCGCGGTGCTCCGCGGCCGGCGCCGTGCGGGGAAGGCGGAGCCGTGAGGGCCGTGAGGGGCCGTGAGGGGGGCGCGGGACGAGGCCGGAGCCGGCGGGCCCGACCATGGAGAGCCCCGTCAGCAGCGGCTCCCTGAGGGGAGAGATCAGTGCGTGGGGCCCGGGGGGTGGCGTGGGCTGGGAGGGGAGCCGGGAATTGAACTGGGAACGGAGCTGGGAAGGGACGGGGGCTGCCGCCAGCGGCGTGGCTTGGGGCAGGTCAAGGGGCACTGGGGGTGACAGGGTGGTTTTAGGGGTTGCAGAGCGGGTTTCGTGGTTGCAGCACTTTTTTGGGGTGAGCGGGATGGTGTTGGGGGTTGCAAGGCGGGTTTGGGACGGGCAGGACGGATTTGGGGGTGACAGGGTGGTTTGGGAGGTGACAGGGTGGTTTAGGGAGTTGCAGGACGGATTTGGGGGTGACAGGGTGGTTTAGGGAGTTGCAGGACGGTTTTGGGGTGAGCGGGATGGTGTTGGGGGTGACAGGGTGGTTTTGGAGGTGACAGGGTTCACAAGGTAGCTTTTGGGGAGGTCAGGATGGATTGGGAATGACAGGCTGGGATTGGGGGTGACAGGGTGGTTTTGAAGGGGTGCGGGACCGTTTTGGGGGTTGCAGGATGGATTGGGAGTCACAGGATGGTTTGGGGGGTTGCAGGACGGTTTGGGGGGTTGCAGGGTGGCTTTGGGGTGGGCAGGAGGATTTGGGGGGGTTGCAGGGTGGCTTTGGGGTGGGCAGGAGGGTTTGGGGGGTTGCAGGAAGGTTTTGGGGGTGACAGGACAGTTTTGGGGGTTGCAGGACGGTTTTGGGGGTTGCAGGACAGTTCTGGGGTGGGCAGGACCATTTGGGAAGCAAGTGGCCTCTCCCAAGGCAAGGGATAAGGGGATAAACTCCTGGGAGAGCTGGACACGGGGAATCATCCCCATTCCTCCGTAAATGAATGTGTGTGATCCGTGTTGGAGAGCTGGGGGGTTGAGATGGTTCCAACCTTGGAGGCAGATGGGAAAAATTCCAAAATCCTGCCTGTGACAGCAGCTGCCTCCGGGTCCCCTCCAGAGGGCCGATCCCTGTCCCTGTGCTGCAGCTGATTCCTGTGGCAGGGATGCTCCCTGGATGCTCCCGGATGGCATCAGGAGCCATCCCTGCTTCCCAGCTGAGCCAGAAGCTTTAAACCACAGATTTAGGAATTCTGGCCCCAGATTTAGGAATTCTGGCCCCATCTGCAGCCTCCCTCCTGCTCCATAACCCTGTGGGAGCCCATCCCTGGGGATGTGTTATCCCTCACCTGAGCCTCCCTCCACACAAGGAATTTGGCAGCAGGAAAGGAGAAATTCGAGGAGCCTGCAGTTTGTAGGATGGGGGGTGGTTTTTGGCTATAAAAATCCCTTAATGGAATTCTGCTGAATTTGCTCTGGTGACAAAATAATGCTGCTCAGAGGCTGCCACTTCCAGAGCTCTGTGGAATCATGGAATGGTTTGGATTCAAAGGGATATTGAAGATCATCTAATTCCACTCCCCTGCCGTGGGCAGGGACACCTTCCACTATCCCAGGCTGCTCCAGCCTGGCCTGGGACACTTCCAGGGATCCAGGGGCAGCCACAGAATCTCAGGGTGACCCTTGCCAGGACCTCCCCAGACCTCCCGACTGGCAGTTCCCCCCCGATGTGTGGGGTCCCCACATTTCCTCTGTGCCTCTGGCTCTGTTCCTTTCCCCATCCACTTCTACCCCTTCCTCTCCAGGCTTCTGGGCCGACAGGACCCCAGTGCACGAGGCTGCCCGGAGAGGGGAGATCCTGCAGCTGCAGCAGCTCATCGAGAGCGGGGCCTGTGTCAACGCCGTCACCTACGACTCCATCACCCCCCTGCACGAGGCCAGCCTCAGGGGGCAGACCCAGTGTGTCAAACTGCTGCTGGATGCAGGGGCACAGGTGGGGCCCTGGGGGCTGGGAGCTTCACCTTGTTTGGGGGATGTTGGAATAACCCCCTCCCCCACACACACCCCCCATCTGGGATGAGGCTCTGCAGCCAAAATCAGCCGGAGGCTCCAGAGGGAGCTTGTCCAGGAGGCTGAGTGAGCTGAGCTGGGTCATGGAGGGGCTGGAGCGTGTGCTGGGAAGGGGCTGGAGAACTCCTGAGGGAGCTGGGGGGGCTCATCCTGGAGAAAAGGAGGCTCAGGGGGGACCTCCGTGCCAGGAGGGGGGAGCCGGGGGGGGTTGGGCTCTGCTCCCAGGGAACAGGGACAGGACAAGGGGAAACGGCCTCCAGCTGTGCCAGGGGAGGGGCAGGTGGGACAGGAGGGGGAATTTCTCCATGATGGAAAGGGTGGTTAGGAATTGGAACAGGCTGGAGTACCCACCCCAGGAGGGATTTCCAAGTTCTGTGGCTGTAGCACTTGGGGACACAATTTGGTGGCAACCTTGGCCAGCGCTGCTCCGCTTGGTCTCCTTGGGAACACTTTTCCCCCTCATGCCATGCCATGCCATGCCATGCCATCCCATCCCATCCCACCCCATCCCATCCCATGCCATCCCACCCCACCGTGCTGTGATTCCCCACAGGTGGATGCCAGGAACATCGACGGCAGCACCCCCCTGTGCGACGCCTGCGCCTCGGGGAGCATCGAGTGTGTCAAGGTGCTGCTGTCCCACGGGGCCAAGGTGAACCCCCCCCTGTACACGGCCTCTCCTCTCCACGAAGCCTGCATGAATGGTAAATCCCGGGGGATTCATCTCTCCCTGCTTGTTCAGGGCTTTGAGGATCCACAAAAGAAAAGGCAGCACCCAGGACCTTAATTTGACCGCGAGTTGTTCTCGTTTCCAACCTGTTGGGTGGGTGGGAAGGAAGGGCCAGGGATTTTTGGAAATGCTACTGCTGCCTGTGCTGCTCCTTGTCCCTATCCCCGGCTTTTCCAGCTGGAGGGGCTGTCCAGGGAACAAGGGAAAACAGCAGAGGCCAAAATGATGTTTGGGATAAACCCAGCTGCTCTTTGCTTCCTTCATCCTCTGCTTAATCCTTTTGGGATACTTGGATCAGAGGAGGATGTACTCATAGGACCATGGAATCCCAGAATGGTTTGGGCTGGAAAGGACCTTAAATCCCATCCAGTCCCACCCCCTGCCACAGGCAGGGACACCTCGCATTCCCCCAGGTTGCTCCAGCCTGGCCTTGGACACTCCCAGCGATCCAGGGGCAGCCACAGCTTCTCTGGGAAACCCATTCCAGCCCCTCCCCACCCTCCCAGGCAAGAATTTGCTAATTACTTTTACAAATTCAAATGTAATTTATCCCTCAAACTTCCACCTGCACAGACAGAGCAGCGGGAAAGCCTGGATGTGGGAGCAGCAATTTCCCTGTTGGATAATTGTGACCAAATCTCTTCCTCATTCACTATTTTGTGCCTCAGTTTCCCCTCTGTAAGATTTAATCTCCCTCTCTCCTTCCCTCTACTATTTTTGTGATCTGCTGTCCTGGACAGAGTTTTCCTTCAATTCTGGAGCATTTTGGACAATCAGGTGGTTGTTCAATCCACAACTGGGAGCTCCTGTGGAGCTTTTCCTCGTTAAGCCTTTTCCCGAGGCTTGGTGAGAATTCCCTGCTTTTTCTTAAGCTGAATTAAAGGTGATCAAACTCACCCAGGGCAGGGCCAGCAGCTCCGCAAACAGCAGGTGATTTAGTGCAAATCCTTGGATTTGGGGTGGTCTGACCTGATTCCTGGTTGGCTCCAGCCCGGCCTCTCCGTTTCTTGTGTCCTGCTCTTGTTGTGTTGGCTCCACAGCCTTCCCAGTGCACAGCCAAGCACCAAACAGGCCCATCCCAATGTCCAGGCCCATCCCAACATCCCATTTGGATTCTTGGCTTTTGACTGGGCCCTTCCCTTCCCCAAGGCAGCCCCGAGTGCGTCCAGCTGCTCATCGACGTCGGCGCCAACCTGGAGGCTCACGACTGTCACTTTGGGACTCCCCTGCACGTGGCCTGTGCCAGGGAGCACCTGGACTGTGCCAAGCTGCTGCTCAAGGCAGGTATGGCACCCCTGGGCTTGCTGTGGGTGGGCAGGGCGCGGGGGTGTCCGTGGGAAGCAGCTCCTCAGCGGAATTCCTGCCGGGATAGAGACGGTAACGGCAGAAGGTTTGGCTTTCACGGAGCAAAACTTGCTGTTCAAATGTTTAGTCCAGAAATTCCAGAAATTCCATCCAGCTTGGGATGCTCCCAGCTGGACGCTGCATCCCTGGAAGCACCCAAAGCCAGGTTGGAGGGGGCTTGGAGCAAGCTGGGCTAGTGGAAGGTGTTGGGCTTGGAACTGGATGACCTTTAAGGTCTGTTCCGAGCGAAACCATCCCGTGATTCCCGATCCCTAAACTGTGACCAGAACTCAGAGCTCATTCAAAACACACAGCCCAGGTGACTTTGGTGGATGGTCAGGTCCAACATTTGGCTCCAGGTTTCACATCCCAGTTTTCTTCTCGTTCTGGGGGGGTTGAATTTAGGTTGAACTTCCAGTTTTTCCCTGTGCGTCCAGGAGGAGATTTGGCCCAGGGGAGGGGATTTATTTAGTTGGATAACAATTATCTAAAAGTTACACACCTAAGCCAAGTTTGCTTCCAACCACTCCAATTCCCCATGAATTGATTCCCAAGAAATTCCAGTTTCTCCTCATGAATTCTCATGAAGTCCAGTGTGGCCACACATTCCCAAAAGGGAATCTTCTGAGCTCAGTGAGGTCTCCCTCACCTCTGCTGATCAAACTCCAGCTGTTTTGGGGGGTAGAGAAGGACTTCTTACTGTAAACTGATAAAACCCAAACTTCCTCAGCAAAAATATCCGTAACTAAAACGTGATGGTGGGGCTGGAACACTTCCTGGATCTGGGATGTTCCTATTGAAACAACCAACCAAGTTCTCACTGTCTCGAGTGGGAATGTTCCATGGAGATGACTGGGAGTGGCCCTTTGGATTCAGGAAGCAGCTATGGCCTTATTTCCCCAAATCCCAGGGACTGAAACCCCCTCTCTCCAAGGAAAACAGAAACCCAGAGAGGACAACTCGTGATTTTCCAGCACCGAGAACTTGCTCAGCAATTTCCTGATCATGCCGGGTTTTCTTTGGGGGGATCTTTTCCAGCTCCTTGGGTGTGTTTTTTAAGAGCACTTTGTTCGCCCCAGTCCCAGCACTGCCAGTGTTTGGGTTGAGGGAGGGTTTCCTGGACGGGTTTGGGATCCTCTCTCTCCCCAGGGGCCAACGTGAACGCTGCCAAGCTGCATGAGACGGCCCTTCACCACGCGGCCAAGGTGAAGAACGTGGACCTGGTGGAGATGCTGGTGGAGTTCGGAGGGAACATCTACGCCAGGGACAACCGGGGCAAGAAACCCTCGGATTACACCTGGAGCAGCAGCCCCACAGCCAAGTGCTTCGAGTACTACGAGAGTAAGTGATGGGGGGACAGTCCTGGGAATCAGTCACAGGAACACAGATTTGGGGTGGGATGGGAACTAAAAGCCCATCCAGTTCTAACCCCATGGGCAGGGACACCTCCCACTATCCCAGGTTGCTCCAACTCGGCCTTGGACACTCCCAGGGATCCAGGGGCAGCCACAGCTTCTCTGGGAAACCCATTCCAGCCCCTCCCCATCCTCCCAGGGATAAAAATTCCTCCTCATAAAAGGAAAAATTCCTTATAGGAGAATAGTAAATTGTTGTCTGGCTTTACACCTGTAAATACTCCCAAGATACTCCAGGGTTCCCTCTTTGATTGTTACATTCGGGATGAGATCCAGGATGGGTGCAGACTCTGGAGGCTGGTGGGTCCCTGTGGGTGTGGCACTTTGGGACACGGGGCAGTGGTGGCCTTGGCAGTGCAGATTCAGTTGGACTCCGTGGTCTCGGAGGCCTTTTCCCAACCTAAACAATTCCATGATTCCCTCGATTCTTTCCAACACTTTTTTCCCTACCTTGAAGGCGGATGTCAGGAATGTCCACGGCAGTCGGACCTCATGGCCTTAGAGGCCTTTTCCAGCCTAAACAATTAACCTGAATAACTCCTAAAGAATTCCCTGGCTCTAAGAATTCCACCCAGGCCAGGAAGGGACGCTGGGAAAAGCTCATTCCCAGTGGGATTTCCGTGGGGATGAGCAACCCCTGGGGTGCCCCGTTGGCCGTGGGAGGTCGATCCATCCTTGTCCCCGCCCTGGGGACATTTCCAGGTGTTGCCATCCGGGAATCCTCTCTCTCCATCCCATCAGCCCCCCGATCCCGCGTGTCGTTGCAGAGACGCCGCTGAGCCTGTGCCAGCTGTGCCGGGTGACGGTGAGGAAAGCGGCCGGCCAGGGGGCCCTGCAGAAGATCTCCAAGCTTGACATTCCCCCCCGGCTCATCCAGTACCTATCCTACAACTGACACAGGATGGGCGGGCGGGAAAACCCCCCGCAGCTGCCAGGCCACCAAGTATCTGCTCTTCCTCCTCTGCCTCCCCCGTCCCCCAAGAAGCTGCTGTCAATTGAAGCAAAGTGCTGTCAGCGGCGTTTCCGAGGCACCGCTTCCTTCTCCTCCGGGGCAGATTCCACCTGGGGGGCCGGGAATGCTCCTGGCAGGGGGGGTGTGGATTTTTAGGCTCGTGGAGTGGGATTGTTGTCTCCTGGTTTTCCCGGCACCCCCCTGTGCTCCAGCCTTTGCAGCCGGCAGGGGGTAAATGGATACTCCTGGAATGGGATTCATCCGTCCCCTCTCAGATTCCCTGCGGGCACCTGTCCCTGCTGGCTGCAGAGGGGTGGGCGGGGAATGACCTTGGATTTGGGAATTAATTCCCCCAGTTAAGCTCAGGACGAATTGGAGGCCCTGCCTGGCTTTTCCAGGAGGATCCCCAGGCTTTGGCTGCTCAGCAGGAGGAAGGAAAAGCCTCTGCCGGGCTTGGCTCCGGCTCCTTCCTCTCTGAGCGTCCCCCCCATTCCCAGGCTCAATTCCAAGGCCAGGGAGGCTTCCCTGCTCCCAAAATATTCCCTCTGCTCTCCCAGCTCCGTGTGCAATAAGTGGGATGTGCATCCCACGTGTGTATCCCTGTGGGATTGCAGGCTCTGCCTGGAATTCTGGGGATTTTTAGGTGGATTTATTTCCCACTTGGGAATGCCCCTGCAGAGGTTGGCAGCTGGAATTCCTGGGGCTTTGTCCTTGGGAAGGAAGCGGGGGGAAGGTGGTGATGTTTGGGCAGAGCCATAATTACCAATTCCAGAGGTGACGTTCCCTATTGTCCTTGGTCAGAATTCCATGGGATCCTGGGTGGGGATGGAGACGCCCCTGGCAGATCTGAGCGCTGTGATGAGAACACAAACCCCTCCAAGGCAGGATGAGCCCCCCTATCCCGGGTGGAATGCTGAGCTCCCACCATCCTTCCTGCTGGGAACCCATCCCGGCTGTCCTTTCTTTGGGAATGAGGCGGGAAGGGCCCGATCCAGGCTGGGAGAGCTGAGCTCAAGCACTTTATGGGAAGCACAAACTCTTTCATTTGTCATTTGTGATTAAATTCCCTCCCCCCCAGTGCCCTTCGTGGGGTTTGATTTCGGAGCCGGATGGAAAAATTCCCCAAAAATTCCATTCTTGCCATCCCGGCTTTTGGCATCTCCGGAAATGGGAAGCTCAGGGAAGCCTCCAGGGTTTTGGAGGGATGAAGTTTTTTTAGGGAATGCTTTGGGGTTTGGAAGGCACTTCCCCAGGCCCTTTATTCCAAGCTTTTTTCCCTTGGATCTTCCCGGGAAAAGCTCCCACCAAGCTTGTGCCGGCCCAGACCCCGGGACTGGGGGGAAAAGTTGCCCTTTGGGGGCAAATCCAAGGATGGAGTGGATTTTTTTGACCTTGCTGGAAAGGCTGAAGGGGTGGAATCCCGAAGGAACTGCAGGAAAGGCCCCAAAAATTCCTTGGCCAAGCAAGAATAAAATTCCCGGCTCCTCCTCGGGACATCTTGAGGGTTTTTTGTCCCCTCTCTGTGAAGTCCTAAAGTTGGGATCTTTATTTTAAAGCTCTTTGAAATGGGGTTTAAAGTTCTTTATTTTAAATCTCTGCATTTTAAATCTCTGCATTTGAAATCCCTTAATTTTAAATCCCTTTAATTTGAATTTGGTTTAAATCTCTCTATTTTAAATGTCTTTATTTTGCCTCTCTTTGATTTTAAATTCCTTTATTTTAAATTCCTTTATTCTAAATTTCTTTTTATTAAATCTCTTTATTTTAAATCTCTTTATTTTGAATTTATTTTAAATCTCTCTATTTTAAATGTCTTTATTTTACATCTCTTTGGTTTTAAATTCCTTTATTTCAAATGTCTTTAAATCTCTTTAATTTAAATATCTTTATTTTAAATGTCTTTATTTTAAATCACTTTCTTTTAAAGTCCTTTTTTTTAAAATTCCTGTATTTAAAATGTCTTTATTTTAAATGTCTTTATTTTAAATTTCTTTTTAAAAAATCAATTAAAAATTTTTTTATTTTAAATTTCTTTTAAATGTCTTTCTTTTAAATCTGTCTTTGAAATCTCTTTATTTTAAATTCCTTTATTTTAAACCTTTCTTTTAAGTTTATTTATTGTAAACTTATTTAAAATATTTTTATTTTAAATTTCTTTAAATAAAATATTTTTAATTTTAAGTGTCTTTAATTTTTTTAAGGAAATCTATTTTAAATTTGTTTTAAATTCCTTTATTTTAAAACTATTTATTTTAAATTTTTCTTTAAAATCTCTTTACTTTTGATTTCTTTATTTTAAATTCCTTTATTTTAAATGTCTTTACTTTAAATCTCCTGATTTTAAATTTCTTTCTTTTAAATTCCTTTCTTTTCAATTTCTTCCTTTAAAATCTATTTTAAAATCTCTTTCTTTTAAATCTCTTTTTCTCTTTAAATGTCTCTTTTAAATTTCTTGTTTAAAAATCTATTTTAAATTTATTTAAAATCTTTCTTTTCAATTCCTTTATTTGAAATCTCCTTATTTGAAATTTCTTCCTTTTAATTTTCTTTATTTTAAATCCCCTTCCTTTAAATTCCTTTTTTTTCTTTCTTTTCTAATCCTTTCTTTTCCAATCCTTCCTTTGAAATTCCTTCCTTTGAAATTCCTTCCTTTTAAGTTTCTTTCCTTTGAATCTCCTGATTTTAAATTTCCTTTTTTAAAAAAAATCTCTTTCTTTTGAAATCTCTTTCCTTTCAAATTCCCTCCTTTTCAATTCCTTTCTTTTCTGTTTCTTGGCTTTGGCTTCCCTGGATGTCCCAGACTGGGAATGACAGTCTGGAAAATTGGGAATTGCCGCCAGTGGGACGGGAACGGGGAGGTTGGGAGAGAAAATGAGGAGTTTTGGAGGGAAAACAAGGAATTTTGGAGAGAAAATGAGGGATTTTGGAGAGAAAACGAGGAATTTTGGAGAGAAAATGAGGAATTTTGGAGAGAAAACGAGGAATTTTGGAGAGAAAACGAGGAATTTTGGAGAGAAAATGAGGAATTTTGGGAAGAAATCAAGGAATTTTTGGGAGAAATCAAGGAATTTTGGAGGTAGCTTTGTCCTGCAGGTCGGGTTTGGATCGTGGTCTCTCCTGATCCGTGGATTGTTGGGAATATCTCCTGCTATGAGCAGAAGAGGCTCATCTGCTGGAATTCCAGGGATCTCTGAAGGACTGGGTCACACCCTCAGCTTGATTTTTCGGGATTTCCTGGGAATTCTTTTGACTTCCCAAAGCCAAATCCAACTCAAAGCAACCCAATCCCAGCGGGGCCACTCCTGATTTTATCCCTCCCCTTCCTGGAGCTCCCCAAATTCCCGGGATAGAAACACCAGAAGGGACAAACCCAAAGCAAAGCAGGTTTCTGTTTTTTCCATTCCCAGGCTCTGTTTGTGGGAGGGAAAACCCCCAAAACTCCAGGAGTTTTCCTGAGTTTCCCAGCGCCAAACAAAGCCTTCCGATCCCTCTGGGAGGCCTCTGGAAATCCTTTGGCTCGTCCCGGAGAGGAGTCGGGAGGTGGTTCCATCACGGTCAGGTCGAGCTGGAATTTGGAATAACCCCCCCCCCTTCCAAACCCCAAGGAGGATCCCTGGTGATTCCCTTGGGATTCCTGGAGCCGGGAAAGCTCCCAAATCCCGCTTTTTGAGCCCCCAAGGGGATCTCTGGGGACTCAAAGCCGGCCCTTGGAGGATGGGGAAGCACCAGGGCAAGAAAGAAAACTCCTCCTGCTTTCCTGGAATCTTGGAAAGCTGGGATGGCTTCCCGAGGTTTTCCTGACCGGGCTCTTCTCCCTGCGTGTCCCGACCGAGTGTCCTGCAAAAAACCAACCCCAAACTCACTCCTTTTCCCCCCAAATCTCCCCTGCATCACCCACCAGCGCAGATGGATCCCGGGCTTCGGGTGCTGCCCCAAAACCTGGGATGTGCCGGATTTTCCCTGGATTGGGGCCCTGACACTTGGCCTGTGGAAAGGCTGCAGGACCCTGGAAGGTTTGGGGGTTATTGGAGATGGATTCGGGCACTTGGAGGGTTTTTCAGGATTAAAAGTCGCTTGGAAAGGTGGGATCCGTGTCTGGCTCTTCCGGGGGATTGGGCTGGGGTGGGGGGAACCTTCGGCTCATCCCGGATCCCAGCGAGGCTTTGGGGGGATCAGGAAGCAGTGGAATTGTTGTCCTGAGGGAAAAGCAGTGGGATGGAACATGCAGGGAGTTCCAGTCCATGTCCAAGGGGGAATTCTCGGGCTGTATTCCTCAAAAGGCTGGACTGGGTCCCATTCCCGCGGTGCCTTCACCATTCCAGGGCCTGAGGAGGCTCCAGGATTGCTGGAGAGGGATTTGGGATGAGGGATGGAGGGACAGGACACTGGGAATGGCTTCCCACTGCCAGAGGGAATGGAATATTGGGAAGGAATTCTTCCTTGTGAGGGGCTGGGCTGGATTTCCCAGAGCAGCTGTGGCTGCCCCTGGATCCCTGAAGTGTCCCAGGCCGGGATGGACCAACCTGGGACAGTGGGAGGTGTCCCTGAGTGGAATTGGATGATCCTTTATGTCCTTTCCACCCAAAGCAGTCCAGGATTCCATAAAAACATGCTCGGTTTGATGCCATTCCCAGACTTTCCAGGACACACTGGTTGGAATTTTTAGGGGACACTGAAAAGGATAGACACCCCCCCACACCCCCACACCCCCGGTGTCCCCTCAGCCCTTGTTTCCCTGGGATGCTTCCCGTGTCCTGGAGAAGGGGCTGGCACTGGGAAAACCTTCCCCTTTGGATCCGAGGCGGGGGGAGAATTTCCACCAGCTGGAAGAAAACAGGTTGGAAACAACATCCCAAAGAAATGGGCAGGAGCTGCTCTTTGGGAAGGCAGGGACAGTCCCTGTTTTCCCTGCCGCTGGAGCAGAGGGGCCGCTCGGGATGGGGAAAAGGCTCCTGGGGTTTTTTTGGGACGAGTTTGGGGGTTGCGGGAATCGGCCCCAAAAGCTGGGAACAATCGGCGGGATTGGGCCCTTCCCGCCGCGGTGCCTCTTGGCGGAGCCGGTCCCCCTCCGGGAAGAGCAGGGAAAACTCCTGGACAGCGGGAATGTTCCCCCCGCCAGCAGGGAAACAAAGCCTGGAAAAGCTTTGGGAAATCTGCTCCCCGAACCAAACCGGCAAACACGGATCGGGATCCCTGCGGAGCCAAAAGGCTCTTTTATCCCGGGAAAAACTCCTAAATTTTCCCTCCCCTCCTTCTCCCGCTTAAAAACGACTGGAAACACAAACCGCCTCCAGAGGCCGCAATTCCAACCGCCGGGATTCCAGAAGGGCTTTTTGGGTTCCCCCGGATCTGGCAGGAAGAAAAAATTCCCTCCGATCTCGGCTCAGGGGTGTTCTTAAGGAGAAAAGCGGGAATTGAGGGCAAAACGTGGAAAAAAAGGGAGAAAAAAGAAGCGCGGGGCGGGTTTTGCCTCCCTGGCGGGAATAGAAAAGGGAAAATAGGGAAAAATAAGGGGTGGAGGGGCTGCAAAACAACCCCCTGGGAGCTGTGCCTGGGCTCGTGTTTTTGAGGAAAGGGATTTCTGTTTTCAAGGGCTGATTTGGGATTAGCCATGTCATGAATAATTAATTAGAAACTCATTGGAAAGAAATTATTTTCATGTAATTAATTACTTTCATTTCCCCAAAGCGAGAAAGCAGGAGGGGACCAAAGCGGGGATGCAAAGCTGTGGAGCTGGGAATGTTCGTGGGAATTGTGATTTACAGCCCTTCCAGCTCCATCCCCCTGCCCCGTCCAGGGGCAGAAAAGAGGGAGACGATCCCAAAAAAAAACCCACCCCGAATGGGACACACTGGGTTGTGGTTCCCCGTGATGTCATTTCCCGTTGGATAAAATTCCCGGGGGCACTTGGGATTTTTGGGGGATTGACCCTCAGGATTCACCGCTATGGATAAACCCGGGGGCACTCGGGATTTGCCCTCAGGGATAAATCCAGCGGCTCCCTCGCCTTGGAGGAGGGAAAAGGCTCCCTGAGCTCCGGGAGGGGAGGCAGCAGATCCCAAAAGCGCCGGGATTTGGGATGGGGCCGGACACAGCCCGTGGGACTGCGGCTGGAGGGTCTCCAGCACCCACCGGGGGAACCTTTCCAGGGAAATAGGAGGGAGGTGGGAGGGGATGGAGATGACCCAGGGGTTGATCCCACCCAGGGTAAATTGGGGGGGTTGTTTCTCTCCGGGATCCAAAGGAGAAGCCGAAGGAAGCACCGGCAGCATCAGGATTGGAGAGGGGGGGGGATCATTCCTTTATTGGGCTCAGGGACGTCAGGGAACATCCAGAGGGTTCTGGAATGTCGATGGACACGAGGTGTCTCCTGGGGGACCCCATGTCCAGCTGCATCCCAGTCCCCCTCCTGCCAGGTGGGATGCCGGTGTCCCACGGAGACGCTGCCGACATTCCAACTGGGACCAAAGGGGGTTTTCCAGCCTGGAACGGCATGGGAGGAGATTTTTCCAGCCTGGAATGGCGTGGAGAAGGCGGGAGGGGATGGAAGGGCTTGGGGGACCCACCACAACTGCTGCTCCCTATGGAAAAAATGAAAGAAAAATACTAAAACCAAAATTAATTAAAAATTAAAAAAAATAGGCACCACGGACGTGGATTTTCCCAACCTCTGGCATGAGCAGGTCAGGATGGGACCACAAACAGGGATTTTTCCAGCCTCTGCCATGAGCGGGATGGGGCCAAGGATGTGGATTTTCCCAACCCCGGGCATGAGTGGGATGGGGGCCATAGACACTGATTTTTCCAGCCTCTGGCATGATCAGGATGGGGTCACAAACACGGCTTTTTCCAGCCTCTGGCAGGAGCGGGAAGGGACCACAAATGTGGATTTCCCAAGCCCTGGCATAGATTTTCCCAACTCCTGGCACAGATTTTCCCACTCGTCCCGCTCATGCCGGGGGGTCACGGACGCCCATTTTTCCAGCCGTGGGACAGGGCAGAAGCAGTTCCTGGGGTGGCCGTTGGGGTGGGGTGTGGTGGGACCTCCCCCGGGCGCCGGGATGACCCATCCCACGAGCCAAACCCACCTGAGGGCTGGAGCTGGGCCAGGGGGCGGGGGGTGGGGTTCACTTCTCCGTCATCATCCTCACGAACTCCTCGTAGTTGACCTGGCCGTCGTTGTTGCAGTCGGCCTCCCTGATCATCTCGTCCACCTCCTCGTCCGTCAGCTTCTCGCCCAGGTTGGTCATGACATGCCGCAGCTCGGCCGCGCTGATGTAGCCGTTGCCGTCCTTGTCGAACACCCGGAAGGCCTCCCGGATCTCCTCCTCACTGTCCGTGTCCCGCGTCCTCCGGGCCATCAGTGACAGGAACTCCGCGAAGTCGACAGCGCCGCTGCCGTCGGCGTCCACCTCGCCCACCATGTCTCGCAGCTCGGCCTCGCTGGGGTTCTGGCCCAGCGAGCGCATGACCGTGCCCAGTTCCCGCGTGCTGATGGAGCCGTCGCCGTCGCGGTCGAAGAGGGAAAAGGCCTCCCTGAACTCCGCGATCTTCTCCTCCGACAGCCGCTCGGCCATGGCCTCCGCCCCGGCACGGCCTCAGCCCTGGCTGCTCTGCCGGCACGGCGGGAGCAGCAGCAGGAGTTGGGAGAGGCTGAGCCTCAGGGATGGATGAGCTGGATCCTGGCACGGCAGACAGGGGAGTTTTGAGGTGGTGGAGGAGGAGGAGGCAGGAGATGGGAGAGGCTGAGCCTCAGGGATGGATGAGCGGGATCCTGGCACAGCAAACAGGGGAGTTCCGGGGTGGTGGAGGAGGAGGCAGGAGATGGGAGAGGCAGAGCCTCAGCAATGGATGAGTGGGATTCTGGCACAGCAAACAGGAGTTTTGGGGGTGCAGGAGAAGAAGGATCACGCAACTCCCTGGGGACACCCAACCCCCTGGGACACCCAACCCCCTGGGGACACCCAACCCCCAGGGACACCCAACCCCCAGGGACACCCAACCCCCTGGGGACACGCCCACTGCTCCGCTGATGGCACTGGGTGGAGCTGGATCCCAACAAACCCCCTCATTAAGGGATTTGGCGGCGGTTTCGGGGAGGGGCTGAGCAGGAAGGAGTGGGAGTGAAACACAATTGTTTTTGCCAGTGTTAGGGCAGTTCTGGAGAGGTTTGGAGTTGTGGGAAGGTCTGCTGGGCGTCAGAGGGTCCCCCCAGCCCTGGGTGGTGTTGGCAGTGGGTCAGAGGTGCCGAGGGAGGGATCCCCGGGCGGGTGCAGGCAGAGCCCGACGGAGCTGACGGGGATCTGAGTCACGGTGGGGCCTCCCTGGGGCTCCCCCAGGACGCAGTGACAGCTCTGGGCAGGGATGTGGGCCTGTGCCAGGGGAGGGTGGCCAGGCCTGCCCGGGTTACTCAGGGGGCACCACAGGGGGAATTCACCACCTTGGAACGTCCTGGCGGCAGCTTTGCTCGGCTCTTACGGTCAGCAGGGGTTGGGGACAAAGGATGAGCTGTTTCTCTGGCCATCCACCCATCCATCTGCCCATTCATCCATACATCCAGTTGCCCAATCATCCATCCCTCCATCGCTCCATGCATTTACATTACCACCCATCTACCTGTCCCTTCCTCCCTCCTTCTTTTCTATGTGCTCATTACAGTCATCTCCATCCATCCCTCCCACCAACAAAACCATCCACGTGTGTATCCTCCCCCCAAACACGTCATCCATCTATCCATCCATCCATGACTTTACATTATCATCCCTTTACCTGTTTCCCCCTCCCTCCTTTCCCCTTCCCTGTGTGCCCATGACAGTCCAGTATCCCCCCATCCCTCCATCTCCCCACCCCTCCATCCCTCCCCCTGCCCCTTCATCCATACATCTGGTTGCCCTATCATCCCTCCCTCCCTCCCTCCTTCCTCTGTTCCCACAACACCCGTGACCTTCCCCAGCCCGTCCCTGGAGCTGCAGGACCAGCCGACCAAGTTCCACAGCGCGGGATAATTTGCCTTTCCCAGCCACAGGGAAACCGCACCAGTTCATCCCAGTATAACCCAGTGAGGAGCTGGAGGGGTGGGGTTTGCAGGGAAGGCCACAAGAAGCCAAGCCATGGGACAAGTGAGGAGCACATGGGACCTCCAGGTGGGATAAACCCGGGAGGGGGTCACCATCCGGAGGATGAAACAGTGGGCACATAGAAGGCTGCAATTCCCGGCAGGAATGGTGTGATCCGTGCTGGGAACCCGTCTGGTGAGATGCAGGGGAGGCCCTGGAGCTCCTCCCGTGCCAGGAGCTGCTCCCTGCCTGTCTGTGCCGAGCCAGGTTCAACCATTTCCCATCCCACCTGCCAGGAAAGGGCCTTGGGAGTTGAGCCAGGAGCCAAAGGCAGGGGAGCTGATCCCAATCCAGCTGGGAGAAGCCAACACGGACAGAACTCCGGGGGGTTTGAGGCCTGGGGGGGTTCAGGTGTTGGGTCCAGACCTGGGGGGGGGGTGTGGGAGCCCCAGAATGAGGGTGGAGGGTCCCAGGGGGCTCTGCCCGGGGGGTCCCTCGGTGCTGAGTGGAACTGGAAGTGCTGCTTCCTTCCCATTCCATGAGCAGCACTCATCCCATCCCATCCCATCCCGTCCCGTCCCGTCCCGTCCCATCCCATCCCGTCCCGTCCCACATTCCTGCCAATCCCTGGGAGAAGGTCCAGGCCAGCCCTTGGCTCCACCACCCCTCGTTGGCACGGCGGGATAATTATCCCAAAGAACTTCCCGCTGGCCCACAGATCCCGTGAGTTATCCACGGCCTCCGCGGGGTGGGACAGGGGAGCAGAGCCCACCCTGGTGGGAGGCAGGAGCAGGAGCCGCCGGGCTCTTGGCAGCTGCTTTTCCTGGGATTTCTCCAGCGGGAGCCGCAGGGAAGGAGGGAGGCTGGAAGCGGCCGCCGGTAAAACCTCACACAGAGTTTTCCGGCCGACGCTGCTCCTCCCAACCCCCGCCGGCCTCATTTGAGGGGTCCGAGCCAGGTAATGGTGGAAAAATTCCCCAATCCGGAGGGTTAAAAGCTCCCAGCTGGAGAATCCAGATGTGCGGAGACGTCTGGGTCTACGTCTGCAGACGGAACAGCGGGGGGGAGGCTGATGGATTCATGGAAAAAGGGAAAGCTGGAGCAGGAGAGGGGGCGGCTCCGACAGGGAAGCCTTTGGGGATGGGAAGGAACCTCCACAAAACCTGGCATGAACTCCACGGAGTTCTAACGTTGTAACGTGGAAATTCCCAGGATCTCCCAGGATCCCGTGGAAATTCTCAGGGATCTGGGAGAGGCTGAGCCGGAGTGCGATCCCCAGTGCCTGCAGGGGCATCCCGGGGCTGCCGGGTGTGACGTTTGGGATTCAGGGATTCCTTTAGCCACTGTTTTCAAGGAGGTTCCCAAAGCCCAGGGGAGAGCTGTGGAGCCTCCAGGGCGGATCCTAAAGCCGGGCTTTTCCAGGCCCAACCAAGGAACCCCGATCCCACATTAGAGCCTGGCAGAGATGTCCCCGTGGAGGAGGAGTTCGGGATTGGGGTCCTGGGGAGTTGTTGGGATAGAGGGATGAGCCCCACCGTGCCCCTGATCCCGACTCTGGGAGGGTCTCACCTGTTATCCACGGAGGGATTGGCTCCATTCCATACGTGGCTCCGGCGCTGGGTGGATCCAGAGGGAGCTGCTCCAGGCTGGAGGTGCCCACACACCCCTTTCCATGGGGACAGGGATGCTGCCATGGCCAGGATGGAGGGGCTCCTCAGGATTGGGGCTGGCACAGCTTCCCCCTCTCCCTCTAGCCTCGGGAATTCCACCCCCCTGCATCCCAGGGTGTCCCCATCCATGGGATGAAGGTTCAGGGCACGCACAAGGACAGGCCCAGCCAGGCCCCCCTGGAATTCAGGCTGGGAGGAAACCAGGAAAGCCCGGCTTGTTTAGTCTGGCTCAGCCGGCGGTGTCTGCACATTCCTCAGGGATGGGAACCACCAGAGTCGGGCTGGGGGGGCCTCCCTTTTCCAAAGGGAAATGAAGTTCTTGGCTGATTTGCCGGTGGCTGCAGGATGAGAGGAAGGCTGAGCCTGGCCTGACTCCGGGAGGCCCAGCAGGATTCAGGATTTCCTTTCCCCTGGGCTCCACCATCACTAATGCCTTTTACTTTTGAAGGAGCAGCTGCTTTTCCAGCTTCTCCCTGCTTGGGAAGGGCAGAGTCCCCTCTGGATCAAACCAGGCCACAGCTCAGCTGTAAAACCCATCCCCAAAGTCCAGGCTGCTCCTTCCCTGCGGATCAGGGCTCGGTGGGATCCCAGGAGTTCCAGCTGTGCCCAGACATTCCCTACATGGCCAGCCCACAGGTTTTTGGGAAGCGCTGTGGAGACTGGAGGGATCTGTCCCGGTGATACAACCATATGTTCCCTGGAAGTTGTCCGGAGTTGGCCCAGCGGGACCCCCCTTCCCAAGGTTCCTGGAGGATAGGATTCCTAAAGATTTGCTGAATGGGGACTTTTCCATAGACAGAGGGTTTTGGGAGGGTGAAGGACGTGAGGAGAATCCCACTGCTCCCTCTTCCTCCCCGGGCAGGAAGCACAGGAGGACACAGGAGAGAGAGGCATCAGGAATTTAATGTACTTGGCACTGGAACTGTACAAGACATTTACAGAGAACCAACCCCCTGTGTCCATGTGCACCCTCCTCCCTATCCAGCGGCACAGGCACGGCCATTCCAGGCGCTGGGATGGCGGGATCAGATCCCCTGCCTGGCCCTCTGCATCGCTGCCACTCATGAGTATTTACAACACTCCCCCTCCTCTCCCCACACCTCAAACTCTTCCTCTTCCCTACCTTTCTACCACATGCAGGAATCCCTTGGTTGCCTCCAGTCCTGCCTTCCCACGGGAAGGGGTTTCATTCCCAAAAGGCAACGGTAACCCAAAAATCTACCTTCGCTCGCTGCTATTCCCCCTCTACAGCTGCTGCTCTCCCCTCCCAAAAACCCTTTACAACGTCCCTACAACCTTCCTACACCCCTTCTCCCTCAGCAGGGTCTCCTCCCAGCCTCTGGATTGCTCAGCCATGGAATGACTGAGGAATGCTGTGGATACACACACATCCTGACCCTCCTGGAGCACGAAGGATCGAGTGACTGGGAAGGAAAAAATGCCAAGTCTGGACAAAATTAAAAAGTAAAAAAAAGGGGGGGGACCCCAAAGAAAACAAAACAACCAAAAATCCCAAATCCCAAACTTGACAAAAAAAAAAAAGCTACTAAAAAAAAATTAAATAGTTGGCAGGTTCCGAGAATGAAAATGAGGAATGTACAAAGGACACGGGAAGATGAAAATATTCCAGTAGGTAAATGGAGAACCTGTTGAACCTGGGCTCTGGGTTTGGTTTTTCCTTTCTTTTTTTCCCATGGAAATTTGCAGGAGTTGCCACAACCACCCCCCAAGGTGACTCCAGGGCCAGAGCCCACTTGGAAAGGCTCTCCCCCCAAACTTCCACTCAGCTCTTCCAGCCCGTGGAAATCCTTCAGGAACCCAACCTTGGAAGCTGCCTGAAAAGGTTTCCCAAAGCCCTCCTGTGTAAAAGCAGCCCCCAGTTCAACAGCGAGTGCCCACCAATAGCTGCCATTCCAACAACAGCCCAGGCTGTGCCCCGTGGAGTGGCTCCGGTTCCACAAATGTACACGGCATTATTTATAAATAAACAGTTTTCCCTCGGGGAAAGGAAGGAAGGAGGGAGGGAAGGAGCCCACTCTGGGCTCCTCTTCTCCCTACACCAGCGTTTCTTTCCGTCTCCCGCTGAGCTGCTTCTCCCTGGCTCTCCTGAGCCCAGGGCAGGGGGTGTGTGCCGTTGTCCCTGAGTCC